GCGTTTTCAAATTTCCTTTGATAAAACACGGGTTTCCTGGTAAACTTATGAATATTTTCGTTCCAATTTTGCAGATAATTTTGCTAGCAATTTCAACTAAAGCTCCTAAAAATTTCAAGGGAAAAGACTCATAACTTTCCTCATGAATGAACATTTTATCGAAGAAAATTTGGCAACTCTCGAATGTTCATACGGCGTTTTGCCTTAGCGCGGCAGTGCTGTGCCGCGGTCCACTGACTTTTGGCCGCCTGCCCGATACCCAAATACTATCATCGACACCATACTGTTACTGTAGTCGTTATTCACGCTCTCTTGAGTAGCACTAGCTCCTCTTGACTAAGTATTTTCTTCGCGGAAAATTATCAAGCTATCGTGTAAGTCATGGGGCAACGCCCTGAAAAATTGGTCGTAAATTAATCCAGTATACGTAAACGTTAAAGAAGATGCCCGGGCCACGTGAGTGGCTACAAAAATGGAAACATTTGCGCGCGTAACGGTGAAAGGAAAAAAGTGATTTCTATACCCTGATAAAAATTGGCAGTAGAATCTGTGTTCCAAAATACCATAGACCTACAGCCGGCTGTAAAATTTCCAATAGCTTCTATAGCCGGCTACACGATTTCGTATAGCCTTTTATAGCCGATGGCGACTAAGCAACAGCCAGGCGATAAAGTGTATGCTGAACGTTACTAATTACGGATGCTAGGACTTAGTGAGTTTTTGGAATACTGCTCTCTTTTTGGGCCGTAGTATCTTGATTTATTTTGCGAGGAAAGCTCCGTACTTTTGATAGATGCCTGCCATTGCTAATATATTAGAGTGCCTTCAGTTTCGTATGAAACTGTGCAATACCTCTGGTGTGAAATAGTTGCTTCAAGCGCCGTGACACGCTGCGGTGCGGCAGGCGGGCAGCCAGCGCGAAACGCGCATTAGCGCCTACAAACCTAACAGGGATACTTCACGCGTTGCGCAATTCGTGAAGTATCCCTGTTAGGTTTGTAGGCGCCAGTGCGTCGCCGCTCCGCTTTGTATTAGGCTCTAATATTCAATCTGGCGGAATCAGCGATATTTAACTCATGATTTTGAAATGTTTGCACATCCTGTATGGATTATTCTCATTTTAATTGATGAAAAAAATGTGTATTAAAGGAAAATATAATGTGTGTTTTGTCAATATTAAGGTGGTTCCGTATCAAACTTAATGATTTTCAAAGCACACGAATTTCTACACAATTTTTTATAGCCTTTTATAATCGATGGCGAAAAAGCAACAGCCAGGCGATAAAGTGTAAAGCCCGGCGATAGGAACTATAGCCCGGCTGCATAATTTTTTATCGCTTCGTATAGCCCGGCCGTAAGGTTTTCTCCGCATTCTACAGCCAGCTATATGATTTTCTGTAGCCTTCTTTAGCCGGCTATAAGAATTCCTATGGTATTTTGAAACGCAGCTCTTATGGCCAATTTTTATCAGGGTATGCAAAATGAACCGCTTTCCAGGAAAAATAGTTGCACTAAGGTGATTCGTCAAGCTCAAGTGACGTGGTGGAACCGGCTTGCGAGAAATCGCATCAATTAAGTAAAAAATATCGGCAGATTTTGAATTTTCAGTCAAAAAAAGGACGATATCCCTTGTGCAAGAGCCTACAAAATCATTCTAAACCAAAAAAATTGCATAATTTAGGGAAATTAAACCAGATCCTGTTTGGAAAAAAAACCTGGTATTCGATACAAGAATCGATAACTGAATCAAATTTTCATTTCCCTACATTATGCAAATTTTTAGGTTTAGAATGATTCTGTGGGCTCAGGCGCAGGGGATATCGTCCTTCTTTTGACTGAAAATTCAAAATCTGCCGAGATATTTTACTTACCTAATTAATGCGATCCATCGCAAGCCAGTTCGACCATATGTCACCTGAGCTTGACGAATCACTTTTAGACGTTGTTACGGAATATACCATGCGTTACTGGATCAGAAGTACGTTGGAGCCCCTTCAATCGATTCTACTAGCAACATGGACAGCCACTGAGTTGGAATAGTTGCATCTAGAAGTGCGATGGTAAACTGGGCTCGTTTATGCTAAAATGAACTATTTGGCACGCAAATATAACGCACATATTTCTTTATGGCACAAATACGTCCAACCAGAAGAGACCCTGATTGCGACGTTCCAAAATCTTTTTAGTCATTTCCATTTTTTTAAAAAAACGATGAGAGGTATTTTTTGGAATAGATTATTATGTACGTTATGAATACAGTATTAAAAGAATATTATGGGTATTATCGTTGAGGCATCAGCCTCAGTTGTGCAGTGGGTAAGACAGCTCCGGCACTGAGGTCTCGAGTTCAACTCCCGGAGGTGACTGATACGTGGACTCCATTTTACAATTAGGAACTACGATTTCTGGCTGAGTTTAAGAACAACGCAAGTGCCGTTAGTTTCTCTGTGCACATCATTGTTTTTACAGATGAGCCAGAAATTATAGTTCCTAATTGCAAAATACTGTCCATTTGAGGACACTAAAACGTCAGTTATCGTGACCACGGATAACTATGCCACTCTCATTGAATCGTTTTCGAAAAGGGGATGATGAGCGTCATTAAGTGAGGAAATCGAAATAGCTCTCGAACTTTCGTCAAGTGTCAAAATACCAATACATAAGATTTCTAAGATCGGTAAAAAATTCTTTTCTTCGAAATTTTCACATCTTTGGTAACACAGAGACGCTTTATCACCCCCCCCCCCCNGTCCTCATCCGTCATCCGTAAATTTTTAGACGTGCGCCCATTTGATCGCTTAAGAGACCTGTAACATTTTTTTTCCTTTCAAAATAATAATTGATTAGGGCACATGCTATTTTCGGTTGTGCTGCTCACGTAGCCCTTGAAGCGCCACTACAAATGAGACAAACGAAACTAATGCAATATGGAAATAGAACAAAAATGGAAAGACGGCGCAGAGATACAACTATTCGTGCTTGATGGATGTCTGCGTTGCATCTGCAAAATTGAAGGCGCGATGGCGCGAGCTGTGAATTCGCGATGTTCCGCAGCTCCGCTTTCTGTTGCCAATGAGGTGTCGTGAGAAAATTAAAAGACAAGGCTCGATTATTACGACTCTCTTATTTACGGCTGTCTCATACAGTCTTTAAAGCACCGCTATAAATACAAATAAGACAAACTGAAACAATCACAGTATAGAAATAGAGCAAAGTAAAAGGAGGCGCGTTGATGAAGGCGCAGAGATACAACTATTCGTACATGATGGATGTCCGTGTTGCATCTGCAAAATTGAAGGCGCAATGGCGCTAGGCGTGAACTCGCAGTGCTCCGTTCTATGCTGCCGGTGAGGTGCCGCTCAGATTCGAGAGAGAAATTTAAAAAACTAGGCCTGATTACGTCTCGATTCTGTTGTTCCTCAATGTTCTCTTAATTAAATTAAAATTACCAAGGCAATTTTCGTCGTGGCTTTATAGCCTATTGGGAGTAAAGATTAAACTTGTTTAGATGATCAGTTTATATTTGCAAGGTAAAAATGGTTGCACAATCTTAGCGACATTGGTCTTGGTTCCTTCTTGCAAAATGCAATCCACTTATTATTGAGCTATCTCCGCTAATCACTGGAGAAAAAAAACACATTGGATCTGGAGTCCAGACTCTTGAAAACACTGACAAGAAAAAATACTCTTGATTCAATCGAATTTTTGCTTGAATCAAAACGAAATCCGCTTAAATTAAGAGGTTTATTCTTGATTTAATCAAGAGTGATTTTTCTTGTCGATGTTTTTAAGAGTCTGGACTCTAGATCCAATGTGTTTTTTTTTTTTTTTTTTTTTTTTTTTTTTTTTTTTTTTTNGTCCTCATCCGTCATCCGTAAATTTTTAGACGTGCGCCCATTTGATCGCTTAAGAGACCTGTAACATTTTTTTTCCTTTCAAAATAATAATTGATTAGGGCACATGCTATTTTCGGTTGTGCTGCTCACGTAGCCCTTGAAGCGCCACTACAAATGAGACAAACGAAACTAACACAATATGGAAATAGAGCAAATGGAAAGACGGCGCAGAGATACAACTATTCGTGCTTGATGGATGTCTGTGTTGCATCTGCAAAATTGAAGGCGCGATGGCGCGAGCTGTGAATTCGCGATGTTCCGCAGCTCCGCTTTATGCTGCCAATGAGGTGTCGTGAGAAAAGTTAAGAAACGAGGCTCGATTATTACGGCTCTCTCTATTTACGGCTGTGTCTCATACAGTCTTTAAAGCACCGCTATAAATACAAATAAGACAAACTGAAACAAACACAGTATGGAAATAGAGCAAAGTAAAAGGAGGCGCGTTGATGACGGCGCAGAGATACAACTATTCGTACATGATGGATGTCCGTGTTGCATCTGCAAAATTGAAGGCGCGATGGCGCTAGGCGTGAACTCGCAGTGCTCCGTTCTATGCTGCCGGTGAGGTGCCGCTCAGATTCGAGAGAGAAATTTAAAAAACTAGGCCTGATTACGTCTCGATTCTGTTGTTCCTCAATGTTCTCTTAATTAAATTAAAATTACCAAGGCAATTTTCGTCGTGGCTTTATAGCCTATTGGGAGTAAAGATTAAACTTGTTTAGATGATCAGTTTATATTTGCAAGGTAAAAATGGGTGCACAATCTTAGCGACATTGGTCTTGGTTCCTTCTTGCAAAATGCAATCCACTTATTATTGAGCTATCTCCGCTAATCACTGGAGAAAAAAAAACCACATTGGATCTGGAGTCCAGACTCTTGAAAACACTGACAAGAAAAAATACTCTTGATTCAATCGAATTTTTGCTTGAATCAAAACGAAATCCCCTTAAATTAAGAGGTTTATTCTTGATTTAATCAAGAGTGATTTTTCTTGTCGATGTTTTTAAGAGTCTGGACTCTAGATCCAATGTGTTTTTTTTTTTTTTTTTTTTTTTTATTATTGTCAAGGCGTATCAATAACAATCTGAATTTATCTGTCAACAGCGTGCGGCGGGAGCTGTCGCCAGGATTCCTGTCGGACGGTGTTCCGGAGGAGGCGGGTCAGAGCTCGCCGATCGCCGGACGACGGTCCTTCCACGGAGTGCCTCGGGGCGCCTGGACGCGGCGCAAACGCAAAACCACAGCCGCAACCACCTCGAGCTTCTGACAAAACGCCCCCGGGCAGGAGCCCGACCCGCAGTCGCCTACCTCCACGGGCTCCCTGCCCTTCCCCCTCCCACCGCCGCCGCACCCTCGACTCAGCCCGCGCGACTCCGACGCCTCCGACCCGCACCGCCGACTCAGCCCACGAAACTCAGACGCCTCGGAACTTCACTCCAGGCTCAGCCCACGAAACTCAGACGCCTCAGAACTCCATTCTCGGCTCAGCCCACGCAACTCAGACGCCTCGGAACTCCACTCTCGGCTCAGCCCACGCAACTCAGACGCCTCGGAACTCCATTCCCGGCTCAGCCCACGCAACTCAGACGCCTCGGAACTCCACTCTCGGCTCAGCCCACGCAACTCAGACGCCTCGGAACTCCACTCCCGGCTCAGCCCACGAAACTCAGACGCCTCGGAACTCCACTCTCGGCTCAGCCCACGAAACTCCGACGCCTCGGAGCCAAGTTCGAGGCCACCGTGGCTCAGTCCACGGAATTCAGACGCCTCGGAGCCAGGCTCAAGGCCCCCCTGGTGGAGCCCACGGAACTCGGACGCCTCGGTTGCGCTGCCCCCCAGCTCCGGGCGCCTGAGCCCACGAACCTCGGACGCTTCGGAGCTGCACCCCCGGCTGAGCCCGCGTAACTCGGACCCGAGTCCTACCCAACTGCGCCTTCCGCCTTGGCATCCTGCCGCTGCCGACGCCCCTGAGCTGGGGCCTGAGGCGGCCACCTCTTCGGTGCCCATTCGCCTCTCGACGAGGACCCGGACGCTGCCGACCAATCTCCTGTCCGAGCTCAAAGCCAAAATTCACAAACGTGCCGCTGATTCCGGCTCCAGCCCTCCATAGAGCACCTTACTCCTTCACACCCTCCCTCATAACTCTGAGTCTACCAGTACTTAGTGGATCACTTGGCAAAGGTACCTACGAGTTTAAGCATTTTGGTATCTGATTCCTCTTCAAAATGTCATGCAACGGACTGATTATTGGAATTAGACAAAGCTATCGACAAAGAAGGCTTAGGGAGTATTCTGCCAGGCTAAGGAAAAAACAGGCGTTGCCAAATATCCTCTGGAAAATCACTTATTTTTAGGGAATTTTTTGAATATTTTTCCGCCAAATTCTAAGATAATTTTGTTTGTGATTTGATCTAAAGTGTCTGAAAATTTCAAGGAAAAATGTTAATAATGTTCCAAAAAAATAATTATTTTATCCAACGAAATTTGGCAACTCTCGAATGTTCATGCGGTGTTCTTCCTCAGCATGGCAGTATTATGGAGCGATCATGTCGGCTGAAACTGGTGATTCTTACAGACTATAGGGGGTAAAATGATGGACTGTCAGGTCTCTTACCGTTAACCGGCCGTTAGCTAGTCTATTACTTACCTCCTTTCTCCATTGCAACCACCCACCTCCATCAATAGGATCCCACCGTATCCTTTTTGTCTTGTCTATGGCTGTGTCTATCAATTACAATAATAGGTCCGCAGACCTTGATTCGAGCAACGGAAATGGGCCTGTTGCAAACTTTTGCTAGAGCAAAAATAAGAGTTGTTTCTTGTAGATAATGCCTCAAAAATCACGATGAGCGCATCGGCAAAGTCTGAAATGCACTCATAACTTCACAATCTGCGTAAGAAATTTGCGTTTTTTTAAGCTTCCCGCTTCAAAAACGATACTACGGCACAGGTGAACATTTTGTTAGAGGATTCGCTCCATCGTCGGCGATATTCATCATGGCCGACGCTTGCNGTCGTACGCGTTGCTCCACGTTAATATCTTATTGTTAGTTCGGAGTCATTTTCAATAATTTCCGTTGATAAATCCTGTTATACATGAAATTTTAATGAGAGCACATTATTTTATGCTTAAATTCGCATCTTGCCCAGTGGTTCGTTACATTTGGCCTTCAAGAAAAAATAGTCCTCGCATCGAATAAATAAGGACGCAGAAAAATAGTTGAGTTTGCTTTCAAGATGACGAAACCCTTTTCAGGATTTATTTCTTAAAATGTGTCTGCCTAAAACTTGCGTGGAAAAAAGTTGAGAAAGAAAAGGAGTTGAATCAAAATTGCATGAAGGTCTAAAAAAATTTTCTAATCAAGTGCAGCACAAATAGAGGTGCAATATAACTGCAACGTACAAAACCTAAAAAGTGCGTAAAATTTTGGTTAAAAACCGTAAAGGAAAGTGATAAAACTCCTAAAACTCGTTTAGAGTAATTAATGTGGAATTTTCTCTCCAGAAAAAAATCTCTTGAAATATTTCCTAATTGATACCTTTATTTTAACGACTTAAAACGAATGTGGATCCTAAAAATGTTTGCGTTTTTTATCATTTTTCAATTTTTTTTTTGTTTTGTTTTTTTTTTTTACTGCTGGTGGGACTTCTTGACTTCCAGTAGCCTTTTTCCATTGTTGAAAGATAATTTATTTTTTTCATGACTAAAGGGAAGATCCCAGAAACTAGACAGTTTTAAACACAACATTTCTGTGCTTGAAGTGGCATCTTAAAAAAAAAGGTGATTTTACCAAAAAAGTTACCTACAATCATTGGAATCCTGGCACTTAACTGTCACTGTACTCGTCTAATTTCTATCCAGAGATTGTTTCTCACAGTTTCAGTGCAAGTCTCTTGTTTTTCAAAAATACAGTATGAGTTCAGTAATTATTTAACTATTAAAAGCCTTTTCATCAACTGAGTGAAAATAGTTTTGATGTAATCTGCACTCTAATTTTGTACCGGCTTAGTGATTCGATTGAGCTAGGTCCCCTTCCGATCAATAATCCTTTTCCTTTCTACTTGCAAATTGGCATTGAAAGGATCTGCATTCTTGAGGAATGATAATTTAACTATTGAGTAGCTCCAAGTGCAGACTATAATTTCTTTTGAAGGTAGGTAGATAGTCTCACAGTCAAAACCATCCTATTCTGAGATAAAAATAACACAAGACCCAAAGATGATAGTTGGATGATGTTCTGTATTTTATTTAGATTACATCAGCCGGTGCCTTTTTTATAGCAGAGTAACGAATTATTGACCAATTGTAGTGCAGTCAATTATAAATAAAACGTACAAATTATGTACCTTGAAGGTTATTTCCATACTGCTATGGTCACAGTTTAACGAATCTACTTATGCAACAAGCCGGAGAACCTGTGAATTTTACAGGACTACAAATGCAACCATCGACGACCTAGATAAATTCTATAGTTTCTTCTGAACCTGGTTTTCTTGTTTTTTCAAGCCATGCAATTATTTATTTTACAGAATTTAAAAAATGTCCGCCAAACATTGCTCATGTAAATGAACATTTTTGATTAATTTATTAACTGGCAATATGTCTAAAATACCAATTTTCCATTGAGAGCCAGATTTGGAATGTGTAGCGGGACACTCAACCTATCTGTGCAAATCCATCCTGACACCTCACTCCTCAGAAGCACCAAATAATTACATCTCAAAGAAAACTAGCTTCAGTTGGGGGTGATCATTGAATTCAATCAGGAATAAAAATGAGTATATACCTCCCGATTTCAAGAGTAAATAATTACAAAATCTTTGGGATATTTTTAAAGGAATGGTCCCTAGCATTTCTGTAACAAGTAGAGGATGGAGTTTGGGATATTTTTAAAGGAATGGTCCCTAGCATTTCTGTAACAAGTAGAGGATGGAGAAAATGAGTTTTTTTTATCTTTCTTCAGCTTCTAGCTAACATCCTAAAATTACAAAATAGTGAAGAAAAAAGGCACTTATAATTTTCTAGATATAGAACTGGAATTGATTAATTCATTTCACCCGTCATCCCTTTAGTCATATCTGTGAGGAGTAAAGGAACTTAATTATGATTGCATACATTCTATCACGTAGAGTTGGGTTGCAAAGTCATTGAACTGTTCAAAAAGATGAATTAACTAACCATCTTCTCGAATAATGTAAAAGCTGCTTTTGTGATCGGATGAAATAGAGCAGTAAACCTGCGTCAGTAGGCAGATGATTTTTTACAAAACCATAGTTTTATATTGGATTCAATTTTAAACATTTTTTACAAATTGAATTTTACACCTGAAGTCGTTTTCTTTTAACCCGTTAGTAATAGGTAGACTTTGTTATACGAGCCTAAAAACCAAGTGAGAACCATTGTAAAAATGTAAAATTAAGTTCACGAAATTGTTTGTACTTAAATGTTAAAATAAGTACCTAATGTAAGTATTTTGATTACTGAAGCTTGTTTACATCGCTTATACGTTTGTATGCTTTTATTACCTCTCTTATCTCGGAGAGATGAGATGGAGGCACTTTTTCTGTTATACCAGCTATAAACACCCAAGTGCGATTGAAGTGAGAGAATACAGGATACTTACTAATATCCTTCTTGTACATGGATACAAGTATCTGACTTGTAATGATGGAAAAACTATTTGGGGTCAAGATGCACTGTCAACTGGGAGCAAGTAATTTATGAATTGTAGTTCTCTCTGAAATACAGTTCGGCAAATGCTAACAATTCTCATACTTTTTATTATCAATTTTAATCCATCCGCGGTAGTTTGAAAATAATTTCACTTACAGACATCTGTATGAAAACACCAATTTTTTTTTTTTTTTTTTTTAAATAATTTTCTGTTCTTCCTCTTTTACTACACTGTCATCTGATGAGAATGAGTGGGTAACTGTGGGAACGTCGATGCTACCTCAATCCAAAAGCAATCCCATTCAAAGAGGGGACTAATGGTAGCGTTCCAAAAATAATACTGGAATTCCTTTGTGGTAATATTATCGCAGTAATAGCATTTTCTGACTAATAATGCCAAATTATTACATGACAGGGTCAGACCCTCTGGTGCGCCAAAATATTTTACTGGAAATGGTCATCTGTAGTCCAACTGTTGATTGCTAATTTCATAAATTACATCAACAATTTTATTTTTTAAAACAGACCAAATCAGAATTTGCACACATTTATTAACTACAATTGACTTGCTTTGACGGATTCAAAAATTTTGCTCATTAGTTGTTCTATTAAAACTTGTTAGGTTAAACCTAAATCCTAGTCAGCTAATGGGGTTATTAAATGATACTGGATCAGTTTTAATCTCGGTGTATTCTTGGTAAGGTTAAAGGTACTTAATTCCTTCCCATGCTAAGATAAAATTTGCTCCGTGCCGGTGATAAAGTGCACAATCGACCAACACGTGGGGACATAGAATAAATTTATCTTAAATTAGTTAAATGGCATCATAAAATGTGAAGAGAATGATATTTGTCTGTTACAAAAACAATGTGGATTTCTAACGACATAGGTTATTGTTTCTCCTAACAATAATATTTAATGTTCAGGAGAGAGAAAAATTATTACGCTTATAGCAAAGCAGCTGGCTGTGCGGCGTTATCTCCTGTAAGAATTAATAACATTACTGGATCATTGGATTACATTCACAATTATTCAATATTCATCAGGCAATCTATGAGTTGGTAAATCATTATATTCAGCAACAGTTTTGACGTCTCTCAACTAAAAATTTTACCTAAAAAACAATCTTGTGATGATTCAAACTCTTACTGACAAAGGAAAAATTTTTGAATCCGCAAACATGTCGTCCCTCTGTTCATTCAGTGCATAAATTTCATCATTCTTTATTTCCCTTGTTTCTCTTTCCTCCCTTTTTTTAATACTGTTTTGGGTTTTAAGCCTTCACATGCAGGTGAAACATTTACTGTTTATTACATTTTAAAATTTTATACTGTATGTTTTCAGAGAGTAAAAGTTTAAGTAGGAATAATTCTTAATTGTTGATTGTACGTATATATCATTTAATGCAGTTATTATATTTTTTCATAAAAATAAATAAAATAAATTTCAGCAATCATTGAATACAGCATGTGTTTCCATTAATTCTTTCTGTGGTTTGATTTGTAGGTAGCCATACATATTGTAAGTCACAAGCCAATGAAAAGCGCTTGCTTGCAGTTAGATGCAAGTGTAAAATTGAGTGAAGAAATTCAAAACTATCCTATACAAAGTTTCTATTTCTTTCATGACAACCATCTGAGGCAACTGAATACCATAGAGTACATAGAGTTGTAATGTAAGTGGGTGAGCTGGCGGCACTTTTAAGCATTTTCCAGGTCCCGAATTCCAAGACTCCTGTGTGACGCCGCGTCACTTTTTCGATACAAAATCGATTGTTTGCGATACATGGGTACCCGGCCATTCGATGTAAACAAAGAAGATAGGAAACACCACGTATTCCACTCCGCCATTTTGGATCGAACATGTATCGAAAAAGTGACCCGAACTCGTCGCACACCGGGCTCGGAACTCGTCGAGTAGAACATGGCGCCAGCTCTCCCATTTACATTACGACTCTATGTATTCTATGCTGAATACAGGTAACATTTACAAACACACCCTCACTCGTTAAAGAAAGAGGTGTGAACACAAAACCAAGAAATTTAGCTCCAGGTAAATTTCAATAGTATGTTCCTTACAATTTTCTGTGCTTAATGAGTTTTTCGAATCAATTTTTCTATGTGCCAATCTCGAAAAGAGCGTAGTTGAAAAAAAATTTGACCGCCTTTTTATACACGTTTTCTGATGGAGATGTGGGACTGTAACCATGTCTATGTGGATCCTGCCCTGCACGCTGTTGTTATTCAGAGGAATTTGATTCTTTTCGTCTGTTTTATCTTCTCAACCAGCAAGGTCTCTAACTCTTCAACTATTCTCAATCACCAATAAGGTGCAGCAACATTTCTAATACAAATAGCAAGTTAAAATATCAAAAACCCCTTTTTCCAGCATTGCTTCTTAAGAGTGGCACATAGAAAGTTCAATTTTAAAAACTCATCTTGCTCAGAGGGTTGTAAGAAAGATCATATACATAAAAAAAAATTGAAATTCAGCCAACCCCAAATTTCTTGGTTTTTGTGCCCAGTCCTTTGAAGTACAAACAAATCTTTCCGTCTAATATCAGAGGTTATCATATGAGAAAAGTTGATTAAAAATTTCAAGTTCTAACTTTGGTGATTTGAATTCCTTAATCTGAGAGTTTTTTTTACTGAACTTTGCCCAATCATGACGTCAAAATCAGGAATTGATAAAAATTTAAAAGTAGCTTATCAGAGGAAACAAGAGCAAGAAATAGCACAAATTAGATTGGTTCTGTTTATTGTAAAATAAAAAACAGGGAACCAATCCAAAATTTATCCTTAAAAATTTACAAAATAAAACAGTGCATAATACCACTAATATCACAGACTGGTTGGAGCATTTCCACAAAATAATATACATAATTATATTCCAATTAGTCTTGGCTCCTTCTGAAGAAACCACATAGATGAATTAAGTTCTATTACAGCAGAACTCGAAAAACATGAAGTGCAGTTTTGATCACTATTGTGTACCCTGCCTCCCACAGACCGATTATGGAAATTTTAAAACAGGCCATAAGACATCAAAGTGCAATATGCCGCATGGTCAAGAAAGGACTGTGTCTTGTGTCATGCCAACATGGCGACGGCGTAAGTCTGCAATCACATATCTCGTTTGCGGTGTCTGACACTTCTACTTTATTTTTTGAAAGGAGAATAAATTGAAATCATTCCTTGAAGTTTATGCAGAATTTTCGTCTCACGGAGAAGAAAAATTATGACAGTTTTAAAGAGTTGCCGTTGAGTAGTTTTCCGTTAAAAAAATAAAGTATGAAAGGAAGTCTGCAACGTCGCAAACTGAGTTACGTGATTGCCTACTTACACCGTCGATAGGTTCAGTAATCATACCACTGCAGGACTCTTCTCTCATGGAGGCATTTTTTTTTTAAAATAACGGAGCTCAGCCTTCTCAAGTGTGTAAATGATTCAGGGTAAACTGTTTTGAACTTGGCAAAGAATTAACTTACCTCAGACATTATATTCCAAAACTAGATAAATTGCTTCGAAAACGGTCACAAGTACAAAGAAAACACTAGTATGGTAAGAAAGGTACAGTAACTTCGGTGAAAAAACTGACCAAATGAAAAGATGATACCTCATGAGAGTGATCACGAATAGGAAGAACGTTAGATGAATAATCTGGATCGTCATTAGGACATTGTTTGCTCGTCTGATTTTTCTTAAAAAGCTGCAATACAAGAAAAGGAAGAAAATTAGTAAATCGGAATTTGAATAAAAATTATGGCGGAGAATACTGTATGTTACTGGGTCAATTGAAATTGAAGACTGAGATAATGCTGCAACACAAGTGACTGATATATTTAGAATGCCTACTAAAACAGGCTGGTCAAAAATCAGTGCTTTTATAGCACTTTTTCAGTGCCTTCCCAAGAAATTCCGAACTTTCTAAACAGAAAAATTCAGTAGGTACTTTTTCAGTACCTCCAATTGACGAAATCCAGAAAATTTCAAAAATTTGAATTCCTCAATCAAATTGCGACAAAAATGACAACAACTTTAAAAAAAATTCCGGACCCTCCGGAAATTCCGGAGTAGTAAACACCCTGATATTGCTAGCAAAACAACACATGAAATGACCAAAAAACAGTGGAGCTACTACTCACAGCTTTGACACTCAGAATTTTCATTTTTATCAACTGATGTGAGCGGCGATCTGAGAGACTGATTTCTATGATAATCTCTAGATAAACGCAACATCTTTAAAATTTTTCATTATGAGATTTTCCGTTGCCGTATAATGATTCTCATCAGGTGCAAAATGCACAATTTGTAGAATGGGCTGCATAGTAACATATAAGAGACCCCTTCACACTCATTTATGTGGTAAAAAATTTACATTCTCCTAATGCTGATAGGCACTCAGAGATTTCATGTCCTATTTTAAAGATATTAGCCTCTGAATAAAAACAAAAATCGAATGATATACCTACCATCTGAGCTCAATGTGAAATCAGCTCACTTGAGGTAAAATAATTGAAGTTCATTAACTTTTTAGTACTTGTACTGATTACACAGAATGTCTTCATGATCATTGATGACGTTGATTGACTTTACGTCGTTATAAGCTTTCCTTTTTATGATCTTAGGTATTTCCTTTTATTCTTTATTATTATGCGTCGTACACGTAACGTACGTTTTTGAAAAATGTGATTATACACCGTGCCTGAAGATGGATTAATGCCCGAAATATGCATTGCAGATTAGAAGTAGCATCAGCATAACAACAAAATTGGGAAAACAAAGTGAAAAGTAAGTTCATAGAGCGTCTCATTCCTTTTGCGCAGAAAATATAGATCTGAGCTAGTTTTGGACTTGCCTGTTCCAGGGTTGCCTATCTTGCAACTCTTTCATCACTCACTCATGACAATTCGCTGTCATCTACATTACTCAAACAAGACATTACAGTAAAGCTCAATAACTTATAGTCTATTTTACCCCATGTCTAGAGTTAGTTTTAACTAAACTAAGGGAATTTGATGTATCGCCAACGACCACCTACCAGGATTCTTTTTGCCAGGATAAAAAGAGAAACACTCTTAGATTACATTCAGTTCAACTAATGTTTCCTCCTGCAGAGAGGAAAACGTTCTTCATGAGGTTTGATTCCAATTTTTCGATTTGTAATTTAATACTCCTGAACCATTGAAAGTTTGAAATTTAACGTAAGTAAACTTAGCAACCAATTAGAATAATTTTGCAATGAATAAGTTCATAAAAAAATTATACAACCGTAATTTTCTTACATAATACAGAGGAATAAGAATTTTCACTGGGGGGATTGGATTAAAATAATGTATGCATGGAACTGAAGATAAAAAAACTTACCTTTGAGTACAGTTAGAGGTCCTGATTAAGTAGTTTAAAAGCAGAATGTAAGACAGGATAGGATATGCTGACAAACTGACACATATTTGAAATCCAACATGCGCAAAATTAAAGTGAGTCAAACCAACGTACCCTGCAGACACATCAATAGTTGCTAGACTGTTGGAGTTGCCCTGTTAAAAAAGAAACCAAGAAAGGTATGAGTGTTGGTATCTTTCCTTGAAAACTGATACGATGATTCGCTACAAGGATTAGTGAGTTTCATCATCTAAATATTTCATGTCTCTGCATTTGTTTGTGTCTCCATCTAAGTTTTTTCGTAAGTAGCCAGATTTTAGCCAGAAATTCTTGCCAATAGGACAGTTCTTTAAAAGGAATGTTCGGCAAAAAAAAAATCAGCAAATTTAAATGATACCTTTTAATTACTTAGCTTGATTACCTCTTTACCTTAGAATTTGCCATTAGCTTTTGCTTTGAATCTTTCGGTGTACTTAGAGCTCTAGTCCTACTGACTAAAAATTTTTGATCAAAAAAAATTTCACACTTTCTACTTAAAATGCCTTTTCAAGCAGTTGATGCTAACCTGGTAGAAGTAAAACAGGAGTCCAAGCCAGTGGTGAATGATACAAAGAATAAGTTCGCTACTCTCATACAAGTCAAACAATGTTTTCTGAATAATGTGACAGACGAAGACGAACACCGGTATCAAAATTATATTGTGCGGTTTCTGAAGAAGCCCGATGGAAAACAGCCATGACATCAACATTATCCTAAAGACCTCGCTCCACGTTTCCAGTCTTGTGATTTGGTTTCGGGATATGTAGAGCTTTATGATATCTTCAGCCAAAATGACTATGCTGACAATCCAATAGAGCCACGCTATCAGAGCTGAGAGGAAACTGATGTCATCATCCCTGAAAAACAGACATTTATTGATTGAATTTCAGCGACAACTTTAGGAGCCTCCACTTCTATCCTTCTTTTGGAAACCCTAAATTAAAGCTATCCAAACAAAAGTTTACCCTTCAATTTGACTGATCAAATGTAAAATTTTACATCTGATATTTTCACCTTAAATGTAGAGTTTCTAAAATATACTTTTAGGTAGTAGCAAGCTGAAATGCCCTTCTCAACATAACCGCTCTACTTAATCCTTAAAAATGTTATGTTAAACCAGTATTTTTGAATTTCTTAAAAATCTTGATTCTTCCTTACTCCCAAAATATAATCATTTTAAGACCAGGCTTCACTTTCTGAAGATCTGATTACAGAAGATATCTATAGTTCACACAAAAATGAGTAGAAATTAACTTACCGATAATGATCGCTCAAATTGAAAAATGGATTCAAATTATTGACAATCATTTGGAAAGTGAAATGAATCGTTGCCAATATAGGGAGTAGCACCAAATGCAGGATACTAGGCAACTTAGAGGCGTAGAACTTGATTCGTATCCAAATAAGGCAAAGGCTGTTGAAAAATAGACCTGAGGAAAAAATCAGTTTCAAATATTTGTAGATTAGCTGCGTGAAGATGAGGGAAGTTTACAGCAATTTCCTTCGATTATTCAAAGAAGAAAGAAAAGAGAGAGTCCTAAAACGAAAGATTCTGGGAAAATATTTCAGAAAATTGTATGATGAGAGCTGTAAAACAGTTATTAAATAGAAAAGATAGAGAAGTCAAAAATACCTATACCAAGAAATATTCAAGCAATCTTACTGTGGGAGTAAAAAATCAAATGGTATACGCAACGCACTCATGTGCCAAGCATAGATTGAACAATTGATATTTATCTTCATTTCTTTTTAAAATTTTTAAAAAGGTGGAAAAAGAAGTTAACATGCTGTATTAACTTTAGTCCAATTCATTTATTACTGCCTCACTTTTAAAATTGTCAAACTCAAACATTCAAAATCAGGGCCAAAGATTAAAGAAATTGGGTGACTGAAAAAAATATGCATGGTTAAAAAGGAAGGCCGAGGCTGTTTTTGTTTTTCTGGTTTTTCCAAACATTACTCATGATAAGGGATGGTATGTTCAAACTTTTCAAAAAAGGAAAATACCAGGTCGATGTATTAAATGAATTTTAAAAATTCATTTTTTGGTTCACAAAAATCACTTCACACAAACAAAAGTGGAGATGAAAGAGGTGAGTCATTCAAAATTCAAGTTATACATTGTTTACTTACAATACAGACATAATGTGGAAAATAATTCATGGAAAGACAAAAAAAACAGTTTGAGCTATGGATTTACTCACTGAGGAAAGTGAATCCAGAGAGAAACATCCTGTTCTCCTGGAGAATATCTCCGATGTCCACCTCAGACGCCCATTTATCTCCTGTAGAATTCAGTTTACGGAAAAACCTGAACATGCATAATGTTATTATCAGCTGTATGAGATTCTTCCGTGAATTTGAGACGCACAGCAGAAGTAAACTGACGAACGAGGGAGTAAGGTAATACCATATTTGGTGCTCCTCTTCGATGAAACTGCTTGAAATAACACTAACCAGGTGGAGACAAGTTCCAAAACTCAAGAACGCAAGTAGTCGGTTACGTAGATTTAATTTCTGAAAAAGAGAAGCGGAGAATAATTTTCAAGGCAGTTAAAAAATATTCAGCCAATATTCAGCCTTATTTCTTATATTCTTGATGCCAAACAGCCAAATCAAAAATCAGGCAATATTAAGGATGTCTCAAAATCAAGAGGCCCAAAACTAAAAAACAAGATGAACGGACTGAAAAGTATGTCCAAGATTTCCGAAGAGTCTTCTTTTTCTTTGAATTTTATGAGAAAAAGCTGAAGCAAATGTGACAAAATTTACAATAATGACGAGAATGGGGACGAAAGTCTGTAATTCGTTGTTCACTGAACAAAGAAATGTCATCTTGATTGTGCTGTTTTGGTATTTCCACAAAGATTTTATTTTTTTTAATGGGAGAACCGTTCCTCAGATTTATCTGAAAATTTTAGAATCTTTCCTCACAAAAGTAAAGAAAATCACTGAAAAGTTCACACAAATTCATTCGACGGTTTTCCTGTGGAAAGATAACACATTGATCAGAGCTACTCGGGCAGCGCAATCAAGATATATTTATTTGCATAGAAGACAGCAAATTATAGGAATCTGAGTATTTATATTGAATTTAATCCTGTCTAATTTTGTTTTCTCAGTTTTGTATTTATTTTGAGTTCTTTATCTTGGTTTTTATGGTACTTTTATTTTCACTTCATAACTTTAATTTTTAGAGACAGTCATGGAAAATTAATGAGGTACTTTGACTTTTTATACTAATCAGCGAATGAGTGTTCCAACCACAAATTAATTTTGAAAAATAAGTCTTTTGAGACTAACTCAGGGGCCTTACAAACAAAAAATGGGTCATTAATCGTCAGGTGAAATACGACCACTGCTTCTTTAAAGTGTTATTACCTCTGTGTGACAATATTTATCAAATCATTTTGATCACAACAATAAAAACACAAATAAAATGACCACTTAAGAACATATAAATGAAACATACCTGAGAGCTGAATTGAGCCCGGCCTAATCCTAATAATGTGCAGTTTACGCAAAACACAAGTAGAAGAAAAAATGAGGAAATTGAGTTTGTACAGAGGCTCGTTGCTGAGTGGCTTTCGCAGACAAACATGTTTCCTAATAAAAGCAGGGTAGCCGCTGCCAAAAATCCAAATACAAGTATGCCTAAGACAGAAGTTGTCTTCAGATCTGGACGGAAGAAAAGAAGAACAGTAACCTGAAAAAATAAGAGAGGAAAATTGAGCAAGAGGATTATTTCAAAATGATTGACGTAATGTTCAATTGTTCACCATATTGCACAAAATTGAGTTATTGGTATTATTGAACGCGGATTTTTTTAAATTCATTTTTTGGAAAGACAAACTAAAGGGAAATTCACTTGTACAGATTGCACTAGAATAGTGCTAGGTCCACACTATTCTGTGGACCATTAATTTCTAAACCCAGCACTTTACTGTCATCCTGTCACTTGCGGTAATCACACATTTTTAATGGGTTTTTTTTCTTGTATATTTGTATGTATACATTGTGGTTAACAATACATTTTTGAATGGTTCCATTTATCATGACAATTTGAATAATCATAATTAAAAAATTTAGGGAAATTAAAGGCTTGCGTTGATGAAAATTGATAAATAAACACCAGGGGTGTTACACATCTTTGCAACGACTCAGAAATGTTGATATGGACACTCAGGTTATAAATCCAACGTCACTGAAATGTTACAGCAACAGCCATAGAGTTAAACTACAAGAACTACAAAAATACTAGGTTATTGCGCTGATTTTTAACATTGCAGATATTGATTCACTGACTTTTCCCCCGTGCAATTTTTCCAAGGCGCATCACAGATAAATGAACTGAAAATTTTCTATCTCTTTCCTTGTCAATATTTTTGGCAAGTCTCCTTGTTCAAAAAGAGGAAAGATTCGAAAGACAATTAGTTTCAAATTGGACACATATTTGTTAATAATTTCTTAGTTCGTGTGCTACTGTCCATAGGTAACTTTCTCTGCTTCAACTGAATTTTTATTGAAAGAAAGTTGGAGATGCGTAAGAAAAGCACTTTGCTGTCCCCTCTTTTCCATGTGTTGTGTTCCAACTCTTTATATATGCCATATATCTAACTAAAAACTAGTTTCAACTGACTCAATGAAACAAAATCAACATACTTGAACCGAGAGTCCGATTGCGAAGAGCATTGACGGTAAATCAAAGGTAGTTGCGCTTGCAATGATAACAGAGCTCATACATTTTGATGATTTGGCCAAAAGAAGAATAGAATTAGGTTTCAATGCATCGGTATTAGCACCGGTTGATTGAGACCATTTAGTGTATGAATCTTTTGCCGCTAAATAATCCTTATAGCACTCTGAAACAAAAAATAATTTACAACCTTAATTAGAGACACGTTTTTTGAATATAAAGAAAAAGCGCTATGATAATGGTACATGCCAGAGAATCAAAAAGTCATTAACAAAGGCCAAGTTTTTTTCATCTCCTTTTTATGCGAATGACTGAGGCATAGCCCTCTTAGTCAGGTCATCTAGTATTGCTATTGAGCACTTCAAATCAGAAATATTATGAAATTTAAAAATCGGTAAAAACAAAAGACTTTTCAAATTAATAAAAAACAGCGATGAAATAGTCAGACGTCGTTAGTTCAGGAGAAGAGAGCCAACTTTGTGCAAACCTTTTAGGTGGTCGTCCATTTTTTCACCTCTCAGTAAAATTTTGTATAAAATTTAATTGTCAACATAAATGCATGACAGTAAAATATGGTTACTGGTGAGATAAAACGTACCATCTTCAATAGAGAGGCGCCTCAGTTTGGCGTACTTTTGAGCAAGGAGCTCGTTATTGTAGAATAAACTGAACAGAAGCTGCTTTGTTGATAATGACCTGAGCAGATTCAAAGCCAAATTTCCACTACTCTTGAGCGGTATAGGCAAACCCATTAAGACAGACAAGGTCGGAACGATGTCTAATTGTGTGATTGCATTCCTGGGAAATGTGAAAAAAATCAACGATAATTATTTTGTGTAGAGGAGATGAAAAAATCATTTTTTTGCTCGTTGGTGCAACAGGACTTGATTATCTTTCCAGATAATCCCATCTTGTTATACCTGAACCGGATAAACCTTTTGATTTGTCTCAACTAAAAGCTTTCAGGCTTAAAGGGATACTTCACGCATTTCGCAATGCTTGCAGTATCTCTGTAGATTTGTAGGCACCAATGCACTAGCTGGCCGGCCGGCCGCCGCCGGCACCGTCGCGAAGTTATCGTACATAGGAAAAGTCTGAAAGCTTTTAGTTGAGACAAATCAAAAGGTTTATCCGGTTTAGGTATAAGAAGATGGGATTACATGGAAAAACCTGTTGCACCAAAGAGGTGTAGAGAGTTTTAGTGAATTTTCCCTCATGGAATTGATGCTCCCCGATTTTTCAAAAAATCTCAATTATACATTTTTCTTTGTTGGACCAAACAAAAAAAAGAAGCAAACCCTCATTCCTCCAGGACATTATACATTTCCATCCAAAAACGTCATGAGCAATTGTCGTCTGTATTTATATGTGAACCAATAAACTTTGGGTCTCAATTGGTAAGTGGACCAAAACTCCTCTGCCGAAAAAACGCAAGGACATAAACTACTGGAAAAAAAAGGTGCGTGGACAAAAAATCGTTGACGAAATGTCCTATAACCAAGATCACAGCTACATTGGATGAACTGCGCAGAATAATTGAACCAGGTCTAACACATGGTTAAAACTTAAGTGATGCAAAACTAGAGAGTTTAATACTTCTTTCACACCTGCGGACTGATTATTGATATTGATAGACAAAACAATACACGATGAGGACGAACGAAAAATGAAGCGTCCTATTGGTTGAGCTGATTGGTTGTTGTAGACTAAGGGGGCAAAACATGAACTAACTACAGGGTCTCTCATAGGTTGCCATTAGATATTCTATTATATAGCTTCTTTGTGCACTAGAACCACCTGCTTCCACCGATGGGATTGCTCCATTTTCTATCTGTCTTCTTTGTGTACAGTTTCGTCTTTCAATTTCGATCATCAGCCCACTGGTTGCTTGACTAGCTGCAAAATGAGAGGGAAGGGATAAAAGTCAACTGAATCGTTAAGCTGATAGTCCATATCGGTCACTAATTTACACATTAGGAGAAAGTAGGGATCAAAAACATACTTTTCCTCAGAAGAACAAGGCAAGCCGACAGTCACAAAAGGAACAGTAGTTTCATCAGCGGATGCTCCTCCATGACCTCCTTGATCTTTCATTCCATGGTCACCACATAAAATCATTAGAAATGATTTCTTTGTCTTCCTCCTCTGCAACAAAAGGGAAAGTAGATCTTTGCATAATTAACTCCAGAGTCATCAACGACTGATTGTTAGTAATCAGTTGAAGTAGTAACAGTTCGCCACCAAGTGCATGCTCAAGGCGTAGCAGATAAACTAAAGATTAGCACTAGGACGGATTTAATCATTTTAAGCAAAGATTTGCCGTTTCGAAAAGTGTGCTGGAAAGTGCTAAATGTTTTGACTGGCATGCGAACGGAGCGATGCGCCACATATTGGCATGTCAGGAAACGAACTAAAATATTTCCTGAGCTTTTCCCCCACACTTGATAAGAAATTTGATGTAAATGCGTTGGTCACTTAATTCTGCTGAATCTATAATCACACTGATTTCAACCCTAAACTGCAGCTACACTAGGAGACATCTTATAATTCATGCAGTTCACTTAAAGAGTATTTTATGCTTTTTGAATTTTAATAGAAATCATTAAGCAAATTTGATTAGAATTACATTTTATTTTGGTATGGGTTCTATTGGCACTAGTTTTGGAAAAACACAGTCAAAATGTTGTAAAAAATATGATAACTGAGCTTCACTTCACTCTTTCAGAAAATGACTTTCTTCTCATTATTTATTTATTTATTTTTTTTTTTTCAATAATTCTAATAAAGTTACTGCCGAAGGAAGTTAGGATAAAAGTATTCATGAAGTTTATTACTAGATAAACATTCAGTTGGAAGATATCGATGACTAAATGTAGGAAACTCGTACCTTAATTAAAATGTTTGAATACCTCCAATTACATTTTATTTTCTTAAAGAAAAACTAATAAAAATTTTTCCTTGCACGTTTGAGTGCTTTTTTAGGATGAATCGAGGAAACTCTCAGAGAATTTCAATGGAAACTGTTAAATGGTTTCTCTTTAAAAGAATTAAACAAGAGGAAGACTGACAACAACGCCTTCTGAGAAACACATTTCATAACTTTAGCCATCAATGTAATGCTATCATATCAATTAATGTTCTTCAATAAATCAATCTCTTTCTCTCCCTTTACAAAAATAATGAAAACGCAGCTTTGATGAATTATCTTTGATAGGAAAAGAGGAGGAGGGAGATAAAATGTATCATACTTTTTCAGTTAGGTGATCATGTATCAATTGGAATACATAATCCATTTCTTTCAATTTTTCAGGGATCAAATCACTGAAAGCACCATGAACATGACCAATATGATCCAATCCTAGATAATGCAAGATTAAGATGTTCCAGTCATCATTCTTTAGTTCTTCAACGACATTTCTGGTCACATTCACGTCAACCTGCAAAAAAAAAGCGTACGATTTGAGGTTAGAGGTAAAAGATAGGCGCGAGGAAAGATTTGAAAAAGAAAAAAAAGAAGAGGGAAGGACTGAAGGCCCCATGAATAAATGAAATCTGCGAATCTGCGGAAACGGGTGAGAAAACAAAGTTAATATTCTTGTGATTTCAAGGAAAATGAGTTCAGAATGTGAGTCTGTCCCTTCACGCGGATAGCTAAAGTAAAAAAAAACACATACCTTTGATTGCAATGTTGTAAGTCTCAGTTCATGTTTTATATTTTTAAAGGAAAACAAATCAACAGTCTATGTTGAAATTTTTGCTGGATTTTCTCCATTTATTCCGAACAAATCAACAAATTGCCAGGAAAAATTGTGATTAGTTTCCCCGGAAGAAAGCAAAACATGATAAAAAATGTTTGAACATTGCAATGAAAATACGAGTTCTTTGCATTTAGCCATCAAATAACATTTGCAGCAGCATAGAAGAGCCGAAAACTGAGTTTTTGCAATCATTTTGGTTCCAGAGTTTTTTTCTATTTTTTGAGTCACTTTGCTTCAAAATTACCTTTTTTATTCACTGGAGGCTTCAAGTATTAGTTAAAACTCAAAATAAATCATCTTGGCTTACAAATTTTAGCAGCCTTCACACTTTCTGAGTAACTCTAGTAGGAACATCTGATATATCCTGTCATGAGACTGACAATTACCTCTGTGTAATCAGAGACATAAAAGGAAGTCACGCCCTCACTTCTTTGAAAATACCCAGGAAACATTTTTAGCCAAGTATCATCTCCATAAAAAGCGAGTTTTAATCCATGATTTCGTGCCCGCAGTAAGATATTATCATCGTTGACGTGAGTTGCGTTCAAATTTCGAATGATGTCAATGTAAGTTGGTGCCATTCCAGTGGTTATAGCCTTGATTGAAAGAAAAAGGAAAAAATTATTAGTATACAAGGAACAGAAATATGCCTCAAGAAAAGTTTTTTCAGACATTTACATTAACAGAATTAAGGTATGCCGTAACTTTGATTGACTTTGTGGTCATTACTTTACAAGAGCAGCAGCTTGATTGTTGAAATTTTTTATTTGTCGGGTGGAAATCGATGACATACAACAAACTAAAGGCACCTCTTGAGTATCCGACAGTATGTCGTCCATTCCACCCGACAAAGCAACGATGAGACATAGCCGACCAATCATGCTTCGCCATTTAAGCTATGTCATCCATTTCCACCCGACAAATAAACAATTTCAGCAATCAGGCTGCAGAGCGAGATATTAGTGGGGGACACATGGGCTGCGATCTGGTGTAGAAAATAATAACAGCTAAACTAAAAAAAAAAATCAACAATAAAGAAAAAAGTTTAGGTCTAAACGAGAGTAGTTTATAAAACCATTCATCCTCTAAAAATAAAGAGAGGAAAAGAGTCATCGAGCTCAAAGGCTGGTTTGGTCCATCAGAGGAAATTCATAAAGGTAACAGCAGTTGAAAAGAGTTCAGAAACCTGGGAACCTTTGCACAGTGCCTTGCGTAGATGGTCATTACTGAATGGCAATTTAAAATTGGCAGGATCATAATATAATTTTGAATGTTCAAAAAAAATTTGAGTCATTGAGGGGCTGTACAGAAGGAAAAAATTTAAAAACCAGTGATTTTATGAGGTGTTCATGGCTTCATTTTCTACCGGCAAATTGAGAGAACATTTAATTGTAAAGAAAACAAAGAGAAAATGAGCCATGAATTGCCGTTGTTGTAAAACTGAGAGTGCTTACACAGTAAAAATGCATTCGAAGTTATGGACCGTTGTATTTATCAGGTAGGTAAGTATTCTACTTTGGTCTTATAATGGCAGCAATCAATAGCTCATTTCTTTTTTCTTCCCTGTTCGCTAAGTATTTTCCATTTTCTCCAAATAAAAAAGTGAGGGAAAAATATTTCAAAATATCCTTGCCTTTAGATATATTTTATTTCATACAGCTTTTTCCCACATTTTGCAATTGAAGCACTGAGTGCAGAGCAGACACTTTTTGGTTGCAATATTTCAGAATTTCCATGCCTAATTTTTATTTTCAAAAGGAAACTATTAAGAGAATTTTCTGAATTTTTTTTCGTCTAGAGCATTGTAGAATCATTATGAATATTCAGAAAGAGTTTCAACGAATTAAGTGCATTTACTTCCATCATAATAAATGAAACATTAGCTGAAATTCTGAGACACCTCAACCAAGAAAAGCCCTTTCAGCACCCAGCACTTCAATTTCATATTTTAGAAAATCCAAAACAATAGTAAGACCAAGGAGTCACCTTGATTCTAGGCATGGTGACAGTTGGAGGACTAGCTGTTGCTTTTGTAATACATGAAGTCTCATCATTCCGTAGCAATGATGACACATAGGGCATGTAAGTCCTGTCCAACAAGAGTTTGTCACCTAGGAAGTCATAGCGTAATGAGTCGACAACCATCAAAACAACCTTATCAACGACAGGGTGGTACAAACTGGAGTTAGTCAGCCTGAAAAGTAAAAAAAATTGAAGAGATTAGAAAACAGGAGGAAACTGAAGCACACAGATGATATCAATTTTATTCTGGTTGAAGTATACAGGTTTAACAAGAAAAATTGAAATTTTTTACTGATCACTTCATAAAATACTGGGTTGTGACTTTCTGCCACTAAGTACAACTACGATTTTTAATGACTAGGATTTTCGATACTAATACTTAGTTGCAAAACATTAATTATCAGTACTTAAAGTTTACACAGAAACTTTTGAAATGGACAGGCATACACTGTCTCTTGGGATACATTTTGACGGTGTAAGTCGGCAATCTTATAACTCGGTTTGCGACATCGCAGACTTCCTGTCATACATTATTTTTTGAACAGAGAACTACTCAACGGCAATTCTTTAAAACTGCCTTGATTTTTCTTCTCTGTGCAAGGAAAATTCTGCAAAAACTTCAAGGAATGATGTCAATTAGTTCTCATTTAGAAAAATAACATAGAGGGGGAGATTTTCAGACACCGCGAACAAGATGTCTGATTGCAGACTTACGATGTTGATTTGCTATTCTTAGTGTCACCAACTCGTGTCATTCCTCATTAGTAATCGGATCACATTTAGCAAAAAGAACCAGTGCAATTACAGTGTTGTGAAAAAGTTGCCCATTCATAATTATTAAAAAATATCTCCCAAAATAGCAAATAGTTTTGGCTTCCCACCAAAAAATTGTTAAGTTTAAAGGAAAATAATTGTATAAATTGTAATACTGTACAAATATTAAGTGTTTATAAAAGAAAAGGAGAAGTTGCACAATTTTGAATCGGGCTGGTTCCTTTCTGCTAAATGCGATCAAATTATTGGTACCGTCGGAGAGTCTTAGGATGCATGACTTCAAAAGTTGGGTGATCGTAAACGAATTTTTCTCTTAGACCAGTCATGTTCAATCCAACGTCCACTTAAATGATTAATAGATGGTTATCGATGAAGAGAGAGAAAGAGAGAATGATAAGATCCTTTTGGGAGAACACATGATTCGGGTGATCAATTCAAGCCCTGTTAAATAAAACATCATTTTATTAAATTTTAATCTTAAAGGCATGAAATCTTGAAAAGAGTTTCAATTATTCAAAATTATAAAAGAAGACTTACGAAAATGACTTTAAATATAAGTTTTCCACAGACGAAGGCGGATTGCCCAGGCTGGTTGAAGAATCCAACGCTGATGGGGAGAAGTGGAAAAAACTGGCAAGAAATGTTACAAGTGCAGTGACAGAGACAAAAATATAGTAAAGAAGTTCCATTTTCGGTGAAAAACCTTCCAAAATTAATTATTGATGCTGGCACACCACATGCCCGGCGAAACCCTGGATTGTGTTATCATGATTGTAGCGACTCGCGCAAAAGTAAACAGAAACGAAAAAGCCTCGAGACACTTGCAAGCAGAACCCTAGCAGAACCGCCAGACAGCGAATATTGTAGATTTTGTAGATCCTTAATTCTCTCTGAAGAATCTTTACTATCTTTTTAGTTAAATAATAAAGGGTATTTTTTAAAATTTGAGATAGTAAAAAGGATTCATTTTGAAAATTTATATCGAATATTTGACAATTGGTATACTAATTCCAGCTTTCTGGTGGCGCTCAAGCTCGAACTGGTAGGTGTGCAGTGGCCTCTGTTATCAGTTCATTTGTTTACAAACACTTAGATTAGATTTTATCAGTCTGCTGTGTGTGAGTAGCGAGTGATATAGTGCTGTAATGTGATTATTTGTTGCTTCATGATGGTCATTTTCAGAGTTCCTAATCGCATTTTTTTTTTCATATGTAATGCCTAACAGTACGAACTTTCAATGTGTCTATTTTTTTTATATTTCTGTGCAAGCCCTGAGACAATACTGCCCTAGGAAAAAAGTGTGAATGCGCTCACTCGTATTCTGCTGCTCACACATTTTTTTCATCTTCATCGTAAGCTCTCCATTGTAAGAAGTATTATTACGAAATTTGTTTAGTAGGGCTCTAAAATTATGTTTTTCTTCATGTTATTCACCTCTCAATAGTGTACATTTAGAGAGCAATCAATCATTCACTAACCTTTCCCTATCAGAAAGTTCCCTTCTTTCAGCTCCTGATCAAGACTCTCAATGTTTATTGTGCACAAGTTCAAATCTTCTGTAAGACCAGTCCGTCCCAAATTACGCCACTTCAATTTCTCAACCATGGCTACATTTGGTCCATCCACAAGCACTGGAGATATGATAGCTGTTGCTCAGATGAATTCTACAAATAGTAAATCAGAGAATTTAGAAACTTGCAAAACATTGATAAGCAGAGCAGTGGAACAAGGTGCCAAAGTAAGTAAAACAGAGCCGTTAGAGGTGTTGTCAGCTAAATTGACACTTGTTTGCAAGCGACTGTGGTTCAGTCGTCTAATGGGGACGGAGGATTGACTAAGTTCTCCATCAGGCCGCAGTCAATCCTCGATCGCAATTGGACAATTGCATTGCCATCGCTTACAAGTGGAATGTGAACAAGTGCCAACTTAGCTGACAACATCTCTAACAGTTTTTTCTTTACAAAATTTCTTTTCAGGTTGATACAGTGCCTACCCCCGAGTTCAAACTTTTTCTGAAAATGAAAAAGATAAAAGTATTTAACTTAGGTGCAAGTTAAATTTTTGGAAGGTACGTAAGATCAGAATCTTCAATTTTCAAGTTTTGGCAGATGCATATCAATATTAACATCCTCTGATAGCAGTGAGTGAATGACAACTTGAATTTTTGTGCCCTCTTAATTGAGATCAAAACTTTTTTTCCAAAAAGATCAGTCATGTTGATCTTTTGGAACAAGGATCTTGAAGATGCCATACTGGCAACTGATGAACTGATTTTCTATTTTAAAGTTTTTGAATAATATCATTGAAAACTCTTAGCTGCTTCTAATTTGCCGTCTCCCATATCTCGATTGCGTTGTCTCATCATTTCTCTTCAACTTTTTTATATTTTGGCGGAGTTTCATCACATAAAATGCTTGAAATTTTCTGTGATACATGGCAAACTGAGATACGTGATTCGGTTCTTCCACCATTTGCTTGTTTTCCAATATTTTATGACAATGTACCAAATAATTGTATATCGACGGTGAAACTATCAAACCACGTATCTCGATTGCAGTGTTTGAAAATCTCCGCTCACAAGTTACTTTTTTGAAGAAGACCAGATCAATATAATTCCTTAAAATTTTGACAGAGGTTTCTCTGCACAAAAAGGAAAAATTACAGAGGTTTTTAAGAACTGACTGAGTGATTTTTCATTTACTGAATAAAGTATGACTGGAAGTCTACAACGTCGCAAACGGAGGTACGAGGTCTGGTAGTTTCACCATCGATATTAAACTTATTATCATATCCTTTCAGATGGTGTTTTTGCCAGAAGCCTGCGATTATATTGGTAACAGTCATGAAGAAACGGAGAGCTTAGCAGAACCTCTGAACGGGCCTTGGGTGAAAAGTATCCAAAGAGAAGCTGAGTCCAAAAAAATATGGGTTTCGCTCGGTGGTTTTCACGAAAAGGCAAGTAATCTGGAATCCCTTGCATTTTAGCATCCAGCAACAAATAAGAAAGGAGAAATCTTGCTCTTGTCACAATATTTATGCAATTCAAATTTGATTTCCTGTAAGAATCAAAATTCTGTCTTTGAAGTGCAAAAATTTTAGCATTTGGCAAGGAAGTCATGGCCATGGGGTTTCTCTTTCAGACAAATTCTGAAAGACCTCTCAGCTATCTAATTTTTGTGATTATACTCAGTGCCTCTTAATTTTTTTTTAAATCATTTTAAAAAACCGCTATTACTCAGCCTAAAACCACCTGTAATAATCAGATACCTAGTAAATGCAATATATTTAGCCTAATACTTCATTGCCCAATAGCTGGAAAATAGCTTTTCCTAACACATGAAGCAAGACTAGGAAACCATCCAAGTTCTTGTTAAATGACAGTGAAGAGATGTTTCCCCGGAAATTGTGTGATTTGTAATGATTTTTTTTTTTTTTCTTTAGAAAACTGTCATTACATTTTTGAGTAGTATGTTCGGAATTCTTTAGAACTCTAGACAAAATAATCACTAAATCTATGATCAGTTTACTTACACCAAGTTTCTTAATTGAATTGGTTCGCGCAAAAACATCCAATACCTACCTGCAGTTCTGTTTTCAGAATTAAAAATTTACTCAGGACATTAATGTTGTAGGGGAAAACAAGTCACTGTGATTTTAAGAAAGTCTAAGTAATCAAAATTAGACATTTTTGTAAGTACCAGCTGATTCACAAATTAACTTCTTTGTGTAAATTTGAACAATTCAGGATGCAATTGATTACATATTAATTTTTTTTTTTGCCTCTGTCTCTAATTGTCTGATAATCTTTTAATTTTTTTTTCATTTTACCTTTTTTCAGCTTGAGAATGGGCGTTTAAGGAATGCGCAAGTCATCATTAATAGCCAGGGGGAAATAACTGCTGTCTATCGAAAAGTTCATTTGTTCGATGTAAACTTTCCTGAAAAAGGTGTAGTCATGCAAGAATCTAAATACATTGAGCAAGGCACAGAAATACTTCCTCCAGTGTCTACTCCATTTGGAAAGATTGGACTTGCTGTAGTATCCTTTATAATGTCTTTACATGCTGATGAAGATCAGTGACAGGAATAGGAACCTTAAAATGTCTGACAGTTAATTATTATCTGGTGATGTTGAAAGCAAAGCCGTCTCTCATGAAAAGATTCCTCCTAATAATAATTTGCTGGAAACAACATGCATTTTTTCAAGTCTTGGCCAGTCATTTCTTAATATTTAAAACAACGTTCCACTTTTAATTCCCCTTTGAAAATGTTGTAACAGAAGTGAGACTGTATTGTACATTGTGTATGGAACAAAAAAAGAGCTCCAATTAGGTGCACTAGAAGCAGTATATAACTGAATCTAGCCCTGTGTCTAAGGTATCATGTAAGGCTCCCAAATTTCTTTAATAAAACCCTATAAAATTCCCTAAAAAAATTGGAAATCCTTGAAAATCGTTGTTTTCACTGATTAGAACTCCTTCTAAAGTCCTTGATTTATTTTTAAAAATCGTTCACAAGCAATGTAACAGTTTGCACTCGCTTACCAGGCGGGCATTTCCAAACTCTTATTGTTAGGCAAGGGTAAAGCGTTAAATTTTATGAGCACACTTTTTAACTGTAACAGATTTTGTCACCAACCCACCAGTGGCGAGGCGTGAATGATCAATTATCAATATTTCCCTATTTGAAGTTACGGTAAAAAATCGATTATTAAGGTGTTTGCTGCAAACACCCTGTTTATGGATATTTTTCCATAGGTTTAAATGACAGATCAATCAATTGCAGAACACGCCACTGCAACCTATGATGATTGGTTTTTGATGGACTGTTTTTTAACTAATTCATCCAAAGGCCCTCCAGATATTTCCTTACATACTTATTTTGGCCAGTGTTACGATGTGCGGTTTCCAGAGATGAGCATTAAACTCGCCCAAGCTGGTGCCCAAATACTTACATATCCATCTGCTTTCATGTTCGAGACTGGTGCTAATCATTGGGAAACGCTGCTGAAATGTCGAGCTCTTGAGAATCTAGCGTATGTTGTCGCAGCTGCTCAGACAGGAGCTCACGGTTCCAAAAGGAAATCGTGGGGTCATGCATCTGTAAGTTATTATAATATGTAGCTCACCTTTCTCTTTAAAAATATGCAAGTACAGCATTATTTTGCGTAGTTGCTTATTCAAACTTTAAATTGATATTGGAAACCAGAATGCTATTAATTATTTTGCATTATCTTTTTCACTGAGAGAACTGTGCTCCACAAGAATTATTTGCCCACTAAGAAATTCAAAATGATAGAATCAGCTACAGTGGATATCGGATATAACGACCTTGAAGGGACCAGCCATATTCGGTCGTTATAGCCGATAGTCGTTATAACCGATAGTGGAATTTTTACGCACGTACCCTATGTTAAAGAGCTGAGGACAAGGCTGTGCTGTAGGTGGGATTCCAGGGCCCGGTGAATTTTGCTGCTGATTCATTATCTCTTCAGTAACACCTTTGTTTATTAGCTTCATCTAATTTTATTTGAATTGAATATTTATTTAATTCATTTATTTTTGTATTCTAGGACTTATTTTAATTAAAACACTTTGTTTGAATTTGTAAAAACAAGGTATTTTATAATATTGAGAATACATGCACTACACACTACATTATGTTTGCAGTACATATGCGCAACACCGAAGAAGTATAAAACTTCTAATTTGAATAATAGTTCGTGATTTCTTTTTGCTTCACAATCGTGTTCGCGTACCCTTTTTGTAACGCTCTAAGGGCCGAGCGTAAAGTGTGATAAAGTGGAATCGTTCCATTCTGAGTTCAAAATTAGGAATTTTTGAACAGTTGTGATGGCTTCTAGGGCGTCTGGAAACGAGATCCTCTCCTCTTCGGCCTCTGCTGCTGTCGCTCAGGTCGTTATAACCGATCACCACATCTGTTGGGACGCGAAAACTCCGTCGCTATGACCGATAAGTCGTTATATGCGATGTCGTTATAACCGATACATAAACACATTGAATGAATGGGATTTCAGCCGGGACCGACCAGTTTACGTCGTTATGCCCGATATGTCGTTATAACCGATGTCGTTATATCCGATATCCACTGTATTAAAATCAGAATTTTGGAGCTTGAAGTATAAAGGTAGAAATAATAGGTTTCCAAACTGTTTGATGCAATGTAAGAGAAAAATGTAGCCTTCATACCTTTTTTCTTTATTTTGTTCTGCAAGGTCTTTCGATTGCACACAAATCATCATCACGCAGTACACTATATATCACATGTTATTAAACACAAATAACATAATTGTTTACCAAAAAACAAAGTATCAAAACACAGAATAAACATCATTTTATAAATAGACAATACTTATGAAAATTGGTTTACCAACTACAATAATCAAAAAAGATTACAAGAGAGGCAAGAAGTAAAGATCAATGCAATCAGATGAGTCATCTATGTTTGGGTATTTTGTTTTTTGGTAAACCATATATTTGTGTTTAATAACATGTGCAGGGCTTCGATTACCGTACAAGCTGGCTAGGCCGAAGCAGAATTAAGTAAAAAATTCAATGAAATGCTTGCAATCATGTTCCTTGCAATTGATGAAAATTTAATGGAGATTTTGAAACACTGCAACCAAGGAACCTTTCTCACCATCTGCACCTTTTCTCACCCAGCACAGTTGACATTTTTGTTGATTCCACTACATCTTCTTCTGTTGAGGAAATTAAAATGAACCCAGCGCAACACCACATTTTTCTGATCTCAGCTGAATTTAATCTCATTTCAGATTATTGATCCTTATGGAAGCATCATAGCTCAGTGTTCAGAAGGAACAAACTTAGCATTTGCGATGATAAACCTAGATTATGTTGAAACTCTTCGCAAGTCAATACCTGTTTGGTCTAATAGGAGGTTTGATCTCTATCCAAAACTTGAGGCATCTCATTCATCGGATGCTCTTCAAAATTGCAAAAACATTGAATTTACATTCGGACAAGTCAAAGTGCCTGCTGAACATGTTTTTTTCAAAACTCAGTCAACTATCGCTTTTGTGAATAAAAAGTGCGTTGTGCCGGGACGTATCCTTTTCTTTCTTTCTTTAAGGACGGTGGCTAAAGCTGACATTTCATTCAAGATTTGTGTCCTTATCAGATAATGTATTCAATTCCGCTTAATATCAAAGAGATTGCTAAATTTGAAACAACCCGTAGGTTGTCTTTTTCTCTGTGAGGAAAGTGCTTTGGTTCTTAGAATCCTGTTTTTCATGGCGCATTTTTAGAATCCTTACAATCTTGTTTTAGGAAAGCCTTCAGCCTCTGCTTTAGCTGTGCATTCTATAACAGATTTTTGAAAAATGTTGCTGTTATCCTTGTTTTTTATTGTATTAATTTGTATGACAAAGGCATTTGAGATCTCTTCAATTTTCAAATGTCAGAATGAAAATATGTTCCATCTCACAAATTTTCTAGATTTTTCCTAACAAAATTTTGCAGATGTTCTAGTGGCTCCAATAAGGTTAGTGACTAAATTCCACGAGATGAGTGACGAGGAAGTTGCTGACCTATTTCAAGTCGTCAAACGAGTTGAAAAAGTGATGGAGCAAAAATACGAGACAGATTCTTCAACTCTCTGCATTCAGGATGGTACTCATGCGGGACAAACCATTCGGGTATGCACCAATGATAATGTAATGCCTTCTACATCGATGCCTAATTTTGTTAAATGCACATCTTACATTTCAAAGTTGCAAATTTTCCCTCAATTTTTATTTGTTTTATAGAAAATCATAAAACAGTTTTCTTGAAATTTTCCTTGAGAATTCTTCATTCATTCAAAAGTATTTACAGAAAATCTCAAAGAGATATATTTGTTAATTTGCTGTCAAAAAAATTAAACATAAGAACAGATTCTGAAACGTTGCAATGTAGGTTCACATTTTTCGATTTTATCCATTTTATTAACTCCAGCTTGGAGTCTCTCAAAAAGGAATCATTGCTTTTAACATAGCTGGTCTGTTGCGTTTCAATGATAAAACGATTGAACCGCATGCATCCATTTTTGGTGCGTGAAACGATTATTTTCTGTTAAATTTTAATTTTTTTGAGGATTTCTGATCATTTTCATTGGCTCTAAATTTCGTGTAATGTTTCTTTGACTTTTCAAGAATATTCTTCGTGCCTTTAAAACTTTATAGAAGTCTGTTGTAGGTAATATTCTGTCTCGAAAAAAAATAAAAAAAGTAAGGGCGTAGGTTTTGAAGCATTGCATTACCTCAGAGTTATGTATTTTCGTTGTTTCACCATAGATTTGTCACAAAATCATGTGAAGATAACTTGATAATCAGGTTAAGCAGATCACCCAAATCAGCTGCACAAGATCGTGTAGATTTCAGATTGTGTTCCAAACATTAGGACACCATGTACCTATCTACATTTACAGGAAAAATGTTTTGTTTTATTTTGTACTACCTAATTTTTGTTTGTTTGTTTTGACAGCATGTTCACGTTCACATTCTACCACGTGTTCCTGGCGATTTTGCATTCAATGATGACATCTACAAAGAGCTCCAGAATCATGACAAAGTGGAAAAAGGCTGGAGAAACTCAGAAGAAATGACAGAAGAAAGTAACTCTTTGCGACCTCTCTTCTCCTGATTTCGGTCTTCATTCATTAATATCTCTGCCTTTTTATTTTTAAGTATCCGGATTCTATTTCAATGGTCCAAGGTCGTTTTAACTGTCAGACACTTAAAAAGAATCGATCTATATGTAGAAAGAGCTTTACACACTTGAAAAGAAACTGTAAAGACTGATTTACCATGAACATTAGGTACCTATAAACTAAGCTTGAATTTAAGAAGTCTTTAAAGATGAAATCACTGTAAGTAACCAATAATTCTGAAAGATTCCCACAGTTAATATTCTTTTTCTGATCTTTTTTTCATATTATTTTTCCCTGTGCACAGCTTAATTTTACCAAAATCAGCCTCAGCAATTTTCAGAGCAACTTTCCCAAAAAGCAATTTAGGTAATACGTACCTACATCAAAAGAAGTTTTTTTATTCAATCTATAAGTGAACATTTCAAAGAATGTATTTAATCCCCCAATTGATCCCAAAAGCTGCATTTGTGTTTTCTGCTACTACTTAGTTTTAAGTGTGATTAAAAACAACAAGAATGCTGATGGCTTTTCCTTTGAAAAATTAAAATTACTATAATGTTTAAAGTTGTGATATGTTATGAATTCATGGTTTAAGTAGTTATTTTTTAATTTAAATGCAGTTTTAATAAAAAATTTGACCATACTTTTGGTTTTTTTTTAGCTAAGACCAAAATTTTCCCAATGCTAAGTAAGAGTCAAATCTTTAAATATTTTGGATAACGGCTACCTATCATATAAAATGTGATTTTTTTCTCTCGGCAAGCAGCTGCAATTTCAGATCAGTAATATTTTGCAGGGAGAGTGTAACATTTGCTGATGTAAAATTTCCATTTTTATGGAGATTAAAAGTCATGATTTCCCAAGACAATCAGGGAATCTGTTGTTTTTTTTTTTTTTATTTTTTTCAAGGTGAACATTTTTCTTCTCCATATGAAGAATTGATTCATGAAAATTTCAAGCAACAGCATCGGTTTGTTCTCTTACGTGCTGAAAAAAATCGAAGCAAAGATTTGTAACACTGCAAACTAGATATGCATTCCGGCAGTTTCACCAGCAATATTCATTCTCGTCTCTGACTTACCTACCTACCTACAGGGCTCTAATTCAAAGCAAAGAGGTCCACCTTGCCTCTCTCTCTCTCTCTCTTTAATGACACCCCTTTCAGTAAATTGCAACACTGCCAAATTACATCATCACAAAATTGCAACTGACAATATTTTCATAACATTTTCACAAAAAAATTGCTAAAAAAATTTATCAAGCAATTGAGCCGAAAATTTTGCAATCAGATTAAGCCATAGGGAGGGGGGGGGGTCTCTCTATTTAATCTAAAATTTCGAGTGTTCGCCGAAATCTAGGAGGACCCCCCTCCCCGCAACGTTTTTCCGGAAGATTTGGTTGAAAGACATTTTCACCAATAATGTCAGGACGATGTCTCAAGTAAATACGAAATTATGGAAATTATCCTATGATTTTGTCAAGATGTCGGATTAATGAGAACATATCGGCAATGTTGCCAAGATACAACCCGGCAACATTCCCGTGACTCGTAGTGGTTGCATAAAGGGATGGCCAATGACCACAAATTAGGTAAGTTGAAATTATATCCAGTGACGTTATCCAGAGCAAAAGCTATTGCCAACTCTCTTATCGGACTATTCTCTCAGAACATCATATTTACAAGTATTCATCAGACATTTCCTGCTTTTCAAGGATTTTTTAGCGAGCATCTCGCTGCTCTATCTTAGAAAAAAAATTAAGTCACCTAAATCCTAATAAAGCCCTTCCTTGCTAAATGTCGATGATAAGGAAACTTGACAACGTTTGTGTCGATTGACGTAGCTCTGATGCAACAATATGGCTGCCTAATCTTGCCGGCCTCCTCTCTCTCCTTTTCCTCCTGAAACATGCTCATGCTGCGCAACTGAACAGCTGTGAGCGTAGGATTAGGAAGTGCCAAATTCCTTTTGTTGACGATCTTGATCTAAGCCTTTCGTGTGGATTTCGTATCAGTTCGTGGCCTAGTATCGTATGTCACAATAATTTTCCAACCGAGTTTGGTCCAGTTAACGTTCGAATTTACGCCCTAATTTCCCACAAATTTTTGCCACCTCGCGATACTGTCATTTGTGAAAAAAAAGTTGAGTGCTCTCTCTACCAGTAGCCATACTTGAAGCCTCCAAAGTGAATGTCCAATTCGTGATTTGATTTGCATCATAGAAGTCAAGTGGAGTGTCAGAAGACTTTTGACAATTTTATGCACATCGGTGTCAACTCGTAATTCTTCATTCAAGTCATCAGATTGTATCTACCTCAACATGTAGTGTTGACCCCAACTTAGAATGTTAGTGTCCTCAAGTTACTTGAAAAATCAGAGGACTTTCTCCCATTTGGAATGGTTTGTTTAAAGAATTTGATAACAGCTTCACTGGAAGTGTCATAACTAAAAACTATCGCTGGAAAGACAATGATATCGTTCGTAGATCTATCCTCCTTCGACAGTGGAAACGAACCACCGACACTGCTGCAGCAATGTTTCCACTATGTTGCTGAGAATTTGGAAACTATTTGTGACAAGACCAACTCGGGTCTTGAACTTAGTAATGGTGTTGTGCTACCGCGGGAAATCTGTGACAGACTATTGGCAGAATACCAGCAGAAGAGGAAAACTTTGGATGATGAATTTGCGTCCGTCTTCAAGAACAACGAAAGAACCAAGCTGACAAGGGTGAGCGTCAAGAACTCCGGGATCAGTGATGACGGGCTTGCAATGTTGGTGCGGCACCAATTAGAGATCCTCGACTTACGGAAATGCTCTTCGGTCTCTTTCAAATCCTTAGACACGATAAATCAACATGGCAATAAATTACGATGCCTTGTTGTTGGTGATGGTGTACATTTGTTCCCTGAAAGATTTGAGCCTGGCTCGCCGGATGCTGGGAAATCAATGTACCAATCAATACTTCTGAATACTCCAAATCTCCGGAGTTTGGCAATCCATAACATGCCAGTGAAGAAGTCCAAGCCAGCCCACTACTTTCTACAACTCCTGAGCCCTCTACAACAACTGCAACACCTTGATCTATCCGGTTGTCGACAAATGGCCGATCTTGCCCGCAGTCTACAGCTTGCATCCTTGGACAATTTGAAGTCCTTGATTTTGCACAATACTAAAGATGCCACCTCAAGCAAAGTGGTGACAGGCATCTGCTCCTTACGTAATTTAGAGTAAGTAATATTGAGGCTTCCAAACAAGAAAATTACTCGACCTGTTATGCTGGTCCATTATCAGTTTACCAGAATACTGTATTTTTTTTTTTTTTTTCCATTTCCCTGTGAAACATATATTTATCTCTAATCGCTTTTTGTGGCTATAGTTTCTCAGTTGTACCCTATTTTAGGGTAATATTTAGCAGGCTAAACCAGAATTGCTCGCATACCATTGAATTTGTAAAAAAAGCTAGCAAAGCTCATCGAATCTCCATTGAAACAAATTCTTGGAATGTTTAAGACGAAAGTTTGCTTGAGTAATGCCGAGTTTAATTTGTGTCCCCTTGAATCTTGAGCAAGTACCTAGAAAAGCTGACCTAATGTGAGTAATATTTATTAGACTATTCCTGTGAGAGTGTAATTGATAAGTCTGCTTGAAGTTTCCAATTGTCATTAAGAAAAACCCCAAACTGCCGTACTCTTGCGTCATCTCATTCACACTGGTATCAACTTTTTTCCTGTCAGTAGATTCTGAAAAAATGCCTCCACTCTAATTTTTCAATTTGACAAGCACAAATAACAGTGTGCTTCCCTGTTTTTGCTCCAAAAGCAAGAAAGAAAAAACAAAAGTCTTCCCCAATTCTCATGCGATCATGATGGCATGATCGAGAACATCCTGCACCCCTGACCTATGCCTTTAATTGTTTTTTTCTCGCTTCCTTTGATTTGTTTTAATTTGTCAGCAATATTCATTTCTTTTTTTCTCACAATAAACCATTTTTCTCATAATTTCAGAGTTCTAGATATATCTCAATTTGATGAAAGGGAAGGAAAGTACGAGATGCCAGATCTTACCTTGGCCACAATAGTCAAAAGTTTACCAAAGTTGAAATCATTGGATATATCAGGAACAAATCTTGCTGGCACCGGTAAGTATAATAATTAATAGTCCATTATTATCACTAACTCTTAATTTTTCTCTGCGCAATGAAGACTCAGAAAAAATCCCTCATTTGGAATGATGGTGATATCTCGATAGCAGGAATAAGTAAGTAGTTAAAATATGCAACACCTTAAAAATAAAAGAGCACCAATTTTAACAAAATTTCATTTTGAAGGTATTAGAATCTCCTTTTTCCAATTTTCTTTGGCACAAATAAGTTTGCCTCAGTTAGTAGCAGACTAAAATTGTTTGACAAGACTTTAAATCAGTTCCCAGCTCTTTCTGCTGGTGGTTGTGTCAAACATAGTAGCACTGCCAAATTGTGCCGATCTGACACACATTAACTGACACTTGGAAATAAGAATGAATAAATGCCTTAAAGAATAAAATTGGCAATTCTTGAGGTTTGACACAAGTTGAGGGCTGCTTTGAATTTTTTTTACAATTTCAGGTACTTTCTTTTAGTTGAAAATTACGTTTTACACCAACCAATTTCAACCCCAGGCGGTAGATACGACTCCCTATTTAACTGAAAATCAATTCATGCCCATGAGTATAATTTGGAAGTTAAACTGCCAAGAATATGAACCATGGGATAAACCTGCAAATTTTTAGGATAGACACTTAAAAATAAATGAGAAAACTTGAAATTTCAATCTTTAAAGAAGAGGAAATAAATTGAATATTGGAAATAATGTTTTGTTCAATTGCAGGTGTTGCAGATGCGCAAATCTTGTCTTCGGACTTTATGAAAAAGAGAGACTGTGATGAAAACTTCAAGAGTGTGTACAGGGCAAGGAAAAGTGACATCGCTGGTTTATCCTCAAGAGCAGATAATCCATTAGAATTTTTAGGCCTCTACGGAACTGATCATAAAGCCTGTTACAGGCATGACATTCCTGCGTCACTCGTAAGTTTTCCTGTCGAAAATTTTTCATATTTTCCTCCCAAACAGTTGCCATTAAATCAGTGAGCCTAACTGTTTTTATCCCTCTATATTCGTCCATAATCTGAGAACATACTGATGTTAGTGTCATTGGAATCTGTCTCTGTGCAATTTTTTAAGTGTTTCTGGATTTTTTATGACTTTACTAATTGTTTTTTCAGCTTTTATTTAAGCCAAGGAAAATAGGGAAACATCGTCTCCTTATTTTGAAGATACTCTTGAAAAATGAGTGAAAATAGGTGAAATTCTTGCCATAGCCATATTCATTTCCAGAACCGCAAGCATTTTACTTTTGATGCATCTCCTCAAGCCATTTTACCAATTTATGAGATAATTTAATTTGTCGTTGGTTATTTTTGGTTTCCTTGATTTAGATATGATTCTTTTTTTTAGATCTCTGGTGATGCAACTGAATGCCAGCTTGTCACAGCCGCTTTGAAATACATTGATAGGCCTATCATCATTCAACGGGTTCTTAGTGACTTGTATCATCGTTTTCGCAATGAATCCATCTCTAATGTCCTTCAAGTTTTATCTATCATTTTATCGGCGATGGATCGGCATATATCTGAAAGGAATATACAAATATCGGGCAGGTGAGTCACAAGAAGTCCTTAAGTTCTCAGTCGTGATAAGTGCGCACACACTCTGAGGTTCACTTGCGTGACTCTAGGCTGAACACACCTCTCTGTTGAGTTTTAGAGGTGGATTTTAAGTTCAGGGATTATGTATTTAAATTTTAAGGACTCAGCATTAGAAAAACAACTTCATCCCTTTGTCAGATCATGTCTGAAATATTTTGGGTCATTAAATCCAATGAGTCATTTATTCATGCCGAAAATGAGGAAAGTCCAAATTAAACTTTTAGTAGACACCCTGGGTTTTACTACAGAATAGCTTTACAGATCATTCAATTTTATGAGCCTGCTCATTAGACCGCAATATTTGAGAAAATAATCGGGTTTTTTTTCCTTCCTTTTTTATACTGTTTTCTCATTTATAATTTGGTTTTATTTCACAGTGCCATTATTTTTTACATCGTGAAAATCCGTGACAAAGTTAACATGTCAGTTAAGACGAAGCGACACATAATCACAGCCCTGTTGAACGCTATGGATGCCTTTGCCGATGATGACACAATGATGCGAAATGGATGCCTCGTTCTGTCTCACTTTAAAATCCCTAAAGATGTCGTAAGTATCTAATAATCAAAACTTTCTCTTCTACGACTTTTAAGTACTCTACGTTCTACTTTGTTTCTTAAGAAGTATAGGAAGCACAAATCACTTAACCTATTCTCAAATTGATAATCAATCTAATCTTACCTCAGCTTAGTCTCAATCCAGATCCAATGTTTACCTATTTTCGAATTCTGTGAACACTTTCCTTGTTAAGAATCTACTTATTTTGATGATTTCTCATCTACTTTACTGTACAAGGTTACAAAATCGTTGGAACGTAAGGCAACTTTTTGCCCCAATTTTCATAAAAATGAAGTAAACTTATTTTCTACAACACCAGAAAAAGTTTCTTGTTGAAATCTCAAAATCTGATTTTTCAACTGGGACTGTCTAAAATCTGTTCTAAAAATTTTGCCTGTATGAACTGGGATCCCTTTTGCCATGGAAAGTCATGATTTTTAAACTCGCAGAAAAATTAGAAAAAATAATACTTAATTCAGAAACTTCTTTTTCCTGGAGCAACTAACATTTATTCAACTGAAGGGTGACATTTCCCTACGTGTAACTTGTATTACAGCTCCTAACATTTCGCTCCATTTTTCAATTTTGACAAAGCATTAATTAAAATTTGTATGGCTATTGTAGATATTTGAGTACAAGAGGCTTGCAACAGCTCTCATATTGGTTGTCGCCAAGAAGAATCAAGACATCTTTGTGCGAAGGATCAGCATTTATCTGCTCAATTCTCTGGCTTGTCAAGTGAGCGAAGATCACAAAGAACTCCTGGGGCAACTTGGAGCTATTTCGGTAGAGTGATACTTTTTTTCTCTTGAGCGTATGGAAAAATTCGTAGCTCTTTCAGAAGAATACCCCTCAAATATCCAAGTATTCAAATCCTGTCTCTTTGTTTAAGCATAATTCTTTAAGCAACAATAATATTTTTAACAAAGTGAGCTTTGCCATCCTTGGGCTTCATTGTAACTGGTTTGACTGTAGCAGCGTCCCATGAGGGACACAACTACAGGAATTGCAATTTAGCAATGAAAACACAAAATTGAAAACTACTAGGTTAGCAAATTCTACAGGTACAGTTAACTAATACAATTGTAAGGTAATGAGCGTAAAGAAAAAAATGGAAAAACCAAATTTGTAAAATTATACTTTATCAGTCAACGCTTTTTGGCTTCTCCTTTAATGTCAAAATTTAGAAATTTACCTTAATGAAGGAGCCTATAGGTTGGAAATAATATCAGTCTTTCAATTAAACTTTGTCAATTTTAGTTTTCAATTTTTGGCTTTCCTCTTTTCTTTTGTCTTCCAATCGATCGTACAAATTCTGAAATTCCTCCCATGTTTCTCTATCAGAATAATTGGTACGTAATAGGAATCCATACATTTTTTTAATAATTTTTGTAGTAAAAAATCAGTTGTGTCAGTGTGTTTTTGCTGTTTTGTGACCCCTGAAAATAGAGCTCTACCGTGTCTCCCTGATTTTCAATCATCAATTTTGTCAACTGACTCTACAGTCATTCGTTGTATTGTAACGTATTTTGCTTTTGATTAATAAGTTTTCCTTGCTTTCAGTGGGTGTTAGAAATCATTAACGAAAAGCTCTCGAAGGAGGAATTTGATGACGTCCTTGATGTTGCGTGGTCTATTATCTGGAATGTTACTGATGAAACTCCGCTGAACAGCGAACGCTTTCTGAATAAAAATGGAATGGACCTCTTCCTCGGTTGTTTAGAGGTGCGTACGTTGTTTGCCTTCTGGTGCTCTCACTTAACTCACAAATGTGAATTTTCACAGAAAAGGGATCTTAGTCTACCAAAACTGAGAATAAAGTTATTGATATCAAGGTATAGATCAAAATTCCTGATTAAAACTGCACTACATTAGTTGTGCCTCCTGTGCAGAACAATTAATTTCTCACTTTGAGTTCCTGAGCTTTCATCCTAGCATGGATCAAGCGTACTCAAATAGTGTTATTTTATTAGCCTTCAACCATAGTGGATGCTTGATATCCCTGTCAATTATTCTCAATCTAATAATTGTATATTTTAATGTGCGCAGGCGTTCCCGGACAAAGAGCAGTTACTGCGCAACATGATCGGACTGATAGGTAATGTTGCTGAAGTGAAACATCTCCGACCCAGGCTTATGCAGCAGTCGTATGTCAAAGTGTTTTGTGATCTAGTTAACTCCCAGTGCGATGGCATCGAGGTAAAAGTCTCATCTTGTTTACCATATTTTCAAAGAAAACTTGACACAATTAGCCAAAATTATTGTGCTGCAGACGATCTAAATCTGTGGTTTGATGGCCTTAGTTTAAGAAAAATAACAAAAAAAATTGAAAGATTATTAATAGCAATAGCAGAAGATTTCATCTCAAAGGATCACAAATTTCAACTAGTTTTTGATAAAATCCATTCTTATTTTTCTAGGTACTTTTCATTTTTGTTTTAAGAAATATTTCAATTTTCCCCACAACGTTCCTCTGTAGATTAGCCAGTCAATTTTTGTTTTGATATCAGAAACTTTCAGTCAGAAACCAACGTGTTTTGCACATTTTTTACTGACCTCCGTAACCTTAAATGCCTCTGAAAATTATCCAATGATGCTGAAGTGTGAAATGTTGAACAACAGTATATATTTGATGGTGAAAGTTTTGAGCAATGGATCTTGGTTTTGTCATTTTAAACTTTCTGTCATACTTTATTTTTTAATTAGAAAACTACTTAATGTCAATTCTTGATAACTCGCGTCATTTTCCTTCTTGGTGTGAAGGAAATTCTAAGAAAACTTGAAGGAATTATGTTGCTTTGTTCACCTTTAAAAAAATGAAATGGTAGTGAAGATTTTTAAACTACGCAAAAGAGCCATGGTTTGGGAGTTTCACTATCATAATATTACATCTTTTATACTCAGAACATTGATTAGCAAGAGCCTGAAGGTAAGAGTCCTAATCTGAACTTCATTTTGCAATTGGGAACCACAATTGGCTTCTCCGTAAAAACACTTGTGTGCAGGTCTTCTCTGTTTAAGTAATGTCTACCTTTTTCTTTGGCAGGTGAGTTATAATGCTGCAGGAGTTCTGTCGCACCTTGCCTCCGATGGTCCAGAGGCTTGGACGATCGAAAGTCCGACTCGAGAGGAAGTATTGCGCCGCATCGTGGAGGTCGTCGATACATGGGATCTGAACCTAGAAAGGAACATAAACTACCGCTCATTTCATCCAATCCTCCGTCTAGCTCAAACTCATCACATTCCGCAGTGTCAGCACTGGGCGGTCTGGGCTCTCGCAAATCTCACTAAAGTTTATCGTAAGTTCTCTCTTTACAAAAAAAGTAAGCAAACCAACTGTGTTTTTGACCGTCCAGGAAAAATAAACAGACCCAAATGCTGAAAATTTGGATACTGGGACATTAGTACTTCTACTTGGACAACATTTAACAACATTCCTCTTAACATTTTATACCCTTTTTTATTGAACCGTAAATGGCAGAAATGGGACTCCTTTAAAGCGATATTTTTTGGGGGCTCTGATGATGTAGCCAGGTAGAGGAAATGGCGTTTGCTGATTGGTAAAAATGAGCTTCATTCATCCCCTCGCTACATGAACTCAACTTTTGGCTTTTCATTGGTCGGATTCTGATAAACTTTTTCTCTCCCTAGAAATTCTTTTTCAAACCTTTTTATGAACTTTTTAGTTTTACCAACAAATTTTACGCAAAAAAAATCGTATTACAACTCTGCAAATTTCCTTGCCACTGCCTATTTTCTGTAGAGGTAATTGTACATTAACCAGTGTGTATTACCTTTTCCTGCTACCTACTGATTTTTTTCAATTTGTTGACAGCCGATAAGTACTGCAGTCTAGTTGAACAAGAAGGAGGCATCGAAATCCTACAGAAGCTCATAAACGATGATGGTCCCTTCCCGCGGAGCAAAGAGTTAGCCCGCATGGTTCTTACGCAGTGTCAAGAGTCTCAAAATAGGCGAGAATACACCAGCGATTATGATTGAGCGCCTTTCCTCACTAAAGTTTATCCTTGATACCCAGCTGTACTGTAAGTAACTGTAAAGCTTTTGCCACTCATGTAAACCTAAGGTACTATTTTCTCTCAATTCAAATGAATGTACTTTCACATTGTACACGCACTAAACCAAAGCTCAGCCAGCTCAAAATTTTCTCTCCATGGATTGTCTTTTTTTTAAATTACCTCACATTTCTGTGCATTTCTTGATCATAAGCTCTAGCAAGGCACATACGATGCCGGAAAGTCTCACTTCAAATTTGAAGACTCACTATAATTAAAAAAATTCCCCTCTTCAATTGGTTGTTTTGTACATAACTTTAATTTTAGTTGTCTTTGAAATTTTCTGAAACCATCAAAAAAGAAAAATAATATTTCCAGTCAGAACGTCTTGCTTATGTCTTACATGCTGATCACGGGCGCAAGGTTGATTTTACAAATGTATGTCATGTTTTTAATATCAAGAAGAAAGCATCTCTTGAATCATTGTATGTATATTTTTCCCATTGTTTCTTATGACTTGTAAATTGAATTTTCTGATTTTAAAAAAAAGAAAAAAAAAATGAAATGAAGTAGGTAAAATATATTCTAAGGAAATAAAGTTAGTACAAATGGAAAAATTTTCGCAGTAAAATTTTGCAAATATTGAAAAATTGGCTACTGGTAAGAAATAAGAAATCTTTAAAATTGCGATTGCAACTTCATGGTTATCATGAAGATCAGATGCCAACTTGAATAAAATGTTTACAGGAAAGACATGAATTTTACAAGAGGGACCCATAGCAAATCAGACCACCACAATGACATTCAGGGCTGAGGTCGTCCGATTCGCTGTCGGTTCCCTCTTGTATAATAAAGTTTTAACTTAGTTTTTGTCGGTTTTTTTTCTTTGTACCTTACTCTTCCTTTTTCCTCTTACACCCTTTAGTTGTTAATTTCCTTGCCTTTTTCACCTGCTTGTCTCTTATTTTGACTTCTCCTTTTTTCTTTCTTTTAAAATTTATAATTTATTTTAAAATTTGATTTGATTTTTTATTGTTTCACAATTGATTTTAATCGTTTAGATTTGTTATTTATCCTTTCGCCAAACTTGTTATCTTGATAGAATTGTTGTTTCTGAACTTCATGTTTCTGCTTTAATTCAAGTTTGCATCAGTGACATTAATGCAGTGTGTATGGGTGCGCGTTTGTATGTGTGTGTATAAAAGCATCTTTTTTAGTAATCAGTATGTGAAAACTGTTCTAGTTTGTTCAGCGAGAAAAAGGATAGGCGTACCATCATGAAAACTTTATCAGCATCTTTGTGAATTTAGACCGTACATTTCTTTCAGCTTTAATTTTCACGCGTAATATGCCACCCATTTAAAAATTTTGTGTGCTTTAATGGTGCAGGTCTCGCCAGAAATTTTATATACTAAGGGAAATCCTATTACATTCTATTTCTCTTTCCTTTTTTATGTTATTCTGTGAACTCATGAGTTCATTGTTCTCTGCCAGCCGAAAAGAATTACAGAGGAAAGAAATAATTCCTTGTGTACATTACATTGTTGGAAATTCCCTCCAGTATCATTCGATTTATGTTAAAATGTTAATTCATTAGAGCCTATTTATGTATTAGTTATTACTGGTTCAGATGTTTTAAAAGTCCGCTATCAATTTGCTAAACGCCCTATGGTAAACGGGCGGTACAAAATGGTAAACCGAAGAAGAAGGAAGATTAGAAGCTACACTATCCGTGATAAGACAGTCTAGGAAATCTTTTAATTCATGAAGTAATGATTTTGGAATTTTAATATTACACATGGCCTCACAATACTAGGTTCTTACTCCCGCAGCAACTGCAAGTTACAAGCCTGTTTCACCTTGAGTCTATTCTAAGATCTATCGCACTAAAAACTTCATCCAGTGTTTCAATTTTCAAGAAATGTCCCTAGGATCCTTTATCTGTGAACTTTTCAGTTATCAATTGCGCTATTGAACCAATATTTTTCTCAAGGGCCCAAGCGCCAAAAGTCAAGTCTCAAGGAAAATGAGAAAAACTGTGCCTTTCAGTATGCACTCAATCTTTTGTCAATCTATGCATCTGAAGAATATCTATTGAAACTGGGCCCAAAAAATTGAACGCAAGCCGGGTGGTTTACTTTTTTCTGTTTTGCTCGAACTTGGATTTTGGCAATTGGGCCCGTAAGAAAAATATCAGCTCAATGGTCTTCATCAAAAAGAAGAAGCACCGAAGATACTCATAAATTATATCAATTAGAGGAGTAAGCTTGTCTCTTGTTTAACTCTTCCCTTCATCCTACTTTTCAACTCACATCAATCTAATTTTTACCACCCCTAATAAATATTTTAATACTTGTTTTTCCATTGCATCCTTAAATTGCAAAATCATTTTTCTGTAGATTTTAAAAATATATATTTGTAATCGTAGTCCCCCCCCCCCATTTTATCATGCTATTGTCCGTACACTATGTGGTCTTCTGCCAAATTATTTGTTTCATATAATTTCTATTTTCATTGTTCTTCTCGTTCTCATCTGCCTCTTATTGCTCTTTACTGTTACCATGTTATCGTTTGTATGTCCGGGTATCTCTCGTCAAAATGTATATTACTTTAAATTTTAATCACTACTCAACATCTTTGTTTTTTCACCTATAAATACTTTTAACCTTAAATTTTTTTTTTCCATGAGAATGGGCAAATGTTATTTCTTTGTAATTTTTAACTATTTCTATTCCTTTTCTGAACATCAACAGCGTATGAAAAATAGAGAGGGAAAGAAGTGTTAAAGCCATGTTTTTATCGATGTTATCCATTTTTAAATTTTAAAATCCTTGTATATATTATCTAAATTTGTAACCTTGTGGTTGTACAAATCCTCAACTTTCACAATATTGCTGAATAAATTGACATCTCAGTCATAACAGCCGCATAAGAATTAACTGAATATAATATTTTGTTTCGGAAGTTTGAGTGAGTGTTTCTGAATGCAAACTGTTGAATTTTGAATTTTTTTCTCTGGGTCCCTTAAAGTATTTTCTTTTTAAGATAATTGTAAATTTTACAGCTTTATACTTAGAAAAGCTCTAAGTTGAGTCAATAACTATCACCGCTGGAAACAACTACCCTTACTTTTGTCGATCTCTGCAATCAAAGTGCTCTCACTTACTTGAACCTGCCTGTTGACTTCTTAATACTTTAAAGTAAAATTTAGAAATGAAGATAAGAAGCAAATATACGTAACAGCTAGATGTGACTCATCACATCTGAAACGCTTTCGACCATCTCTTTCTTTTAATTTTTTTTTAAACTTTTTGGCTCAGACTGTATTGGTGTTTGTTGTACCAACGCACAGTTCATCTTTCATGAAATTAAAGCAAAGGGTAGATTTTTCCGGTGATTTTTACTTTGTTAATTGAATATCATTGTAAGACACTACAGGTAAATATTTTGAATATTATCATTGTTTCTTTTGTTGCCAATAGTTGATAACCGAGTAAATTTGAATGATTAGATTTGCACTTGATGCGTTTTTCATTTTTTCTTTCTTATAAACTACTCATGCAAGAAATGTTAAATTTCTACTTACCTCCATCTGTCCTTGAAAAAAGTACCCACATAATTTTTAAATTTTCAGGGAGAAGTACAATTTGTAATTACAAATTTTTTTATGCAAGTCACCAGATTCACGGGCTTTGAGAATTGTTTGCTCCTTAAAAAAATCAATTTTTTTATTGAATTTTGTTATTATTTGATGTCACATGTTTCCTTTTTTTTTAAAGACAGTAACTTTTTAACATCACAGTCACTTCTGTATCGGTTCAATCATTATATAAGCTACCTAATACAACATGTGTTTTATTTTTTTTACACATTTTTAAATCTTTCAAAAGAGATACAAAGAAATCATATGATCTTGGCGACTGAACAATTGAAACAGATCGTTTGTAACATTCAATTCACATTACAGGTTACGACTAAGCATTCTATTTTAATTATTCAAACTACAAAATCATAGTTTTTTTTTGTACCACTGACTCAAGTTGCACAAGAAAAGATTCGAAAATTTTGAAGAAATGATCCATGCATTGTGACATCACATGATAACAAGTTTCATTTAGAAAAATTGATTTCTTTAATGAGTATACCATTCTCGAAGCTCATGAATAACATTCGTGACTTGCATAAAAAAATTTTAATGACAAATTTTCACGTTTTTCTTAAGCCAAAAATCAGGAAAGTTAATCGAAGAGTCTTCTCATCTTCAACAGCTCTGGGGGGGTCCTCTTTAAGGATAGTCTATAAGATACAAAAATGAGTGTTTTTGACCGATTCGCGAAAGCTCACCGATCGCGCGTTTTTCGCCGATCCAGCGGACTGGCGGACTCGCAGAGCTTTTTAGACCAGAAAATCGGACTCAGCGGATCATTCCTAAAGGGACTAGCCCGGTTTCAGCCCGATCGGAGGACTTTCGATTTTGACCCCGAAATTTTACTCCATGGTACCCCTGTCGATTTTTCTCGATTTTGGAGGAGAAAAAAAATTTCAAGATTAGTGTCACATCTTACATAGTTGGAGGCGTAGAATCGATTGCCCATGGTCTCGGCACTTGCCGGAGCTTTCCGAGCCGAGAAACAGTCAAAAACTGGTGTTTTTGACCGTTTCGCGAAAGCTCACCGATTGCGCGTTTTTCGCCGATCCAGCGGACTGGCGGACTCGCAGAGCTTTTAGACCAGAAAATCGGACTCAGCAGATCATTCCTAAAGGGACTAGCCCGGTTTCAGCCCGATCGGAGGACTTTCGATTTTGACCCCGAAATTTTACTCCATGGTACCCCTGTCGATTTTTCTCGATTTTGGAGGAGAAAAAAAATTTCGAGATTAGTGTCGCATCTTACATAGGTGGAGGCGTAGAATCGATTGCCCATGGTCCCGGCACTCGCCGGAGCTTTCCGAGCCGAGAAAAGGTCAAAATCGGTGCGAGGAATTCGTCTTTTGCATGTGAAAACTTTTACTGAAGTTCAGGAAGGAGTGGTACACGGAAAAAATTAAATTGCTGATTTAACAATTAAATTGCGAAAAAAGTGACTGCAATGTTTCAATGTAGATTTTACAAGAAAAAAATGCTACTTTAACCACGAGCTTACTACAGTATTTTTTTACGGCTTACTCCAGTTTTACTTTATGGTGGTTAAAGTAGCATTTTTTTCGTTGTAAAATCTACATTGAAAAATTGGAGTCACCTTTTTTAGCAAGTCAATTGTTAAATCAGCAATTTAATTTTTTCTGTGTGGGTACTTTTTTTTTCTTTTTTCTACAAAGTGAAGAACTGTCATGACTGTTATGATAACACTATAGCTGACGGTCGGTTGCAAGAGATATGATAGGGCTTTTGAAAGGATAGATTCTTGTTTGAGTCCTTCACACCAACATCAGTAGCAGATGCCTGAAATTTGGTCCGAATGCTATTGCATCGACGAACAACTGCAGTCCAGCTTTCTCCTTAGCTTCCACAAAGGTATTGAAATGTAAAAGGCAAAGAAAAAGTTTCGGTAATAATAATTCTAATTATTAAAATACTATCAATGTACTGTAATACACTTCAAAACAATTGATACGTCCTTCATTTCAATTAGGGTAACCTCGAGCTCTAAAGCTTATTGCCTCGCTGATCGCTCAGCAATAAGCACTGGAGTTCGAGGTTACCCTAATTTCAATTATTCCTTAAGTGGCAACTTATTTGTGCTAAACTTTAATGTAGGTGTTTACAGAATTTGGACAAGATTGAACAAAGTACAGTGCTAATGTGAGGGCCTGAGGGATTGGCTATCTTCATTCAAATTCTTAAAACTTGACCGAACTGGGAATAAATTTGAGAATTGTTCAAGAGCTGGAGACACTTCACATAGTCTGTAATTGTATACAATTTTTTTTTTTTTGTGTTTTTTTTAAAGTACTTGTAATGAATCCTGGGAGCATTAGCTGTTAAGTTAGGTAATTTGACTGGGAAAGTTAAGAAACTCGAAGAGGAATCTGTTAATAAAATGTTAAAATATCTGACTAGGATCATCTTCTCAGCTCTCATTTACAAAAAGGTGCATATTTAAAAGTTTTTTATCACTTTATTTTGGTAAATTTTAACAAAAAATCTAAATAAATTTCACATAACTTTAACTGGTAAATTTTAACAAAAAATCTAAAGAAATTTCACATAACTTAAACTGTTTGTGTTGTGTATTTTGCATCAATATGAGTAATTTTGATGCAAAATTTGTTTCATAACTTTTTTTGGATGTGAATTTTACATACATTTACATTAAAAGAGTTTCTTAACTTTTACATTTTAAGGATTGGTTACACTTTTGAGAACTTATGAGTATTGTGCCTAATTGCATCCTTTTCAATTTGAAAATCAAATCAAAGTTACAGAATACCTAAACTTTGAAGCTCACTTGTTGATTATACGTAGATTAATTCACTGGGAATGTCACAGGACCTTCATATTGACAATTAGACTGCATTTTGCAATTTGGAGCTATAAATTCTGACTCATCTAAAAAAACACTTATGTGCATGGGGAAACTAATGGCACATACGTTGTTTTTAAACCGGACCGTAATTTATAGTTCTTAATTGCAAAATGTAGTCCAATTAACCTTTGTGTTTTGCAGTAGAGTAGAGCAAATCCTTTCAGACATTCAAGCAGCTGCTTTATTGTCTTTAAACTTAAAGCCAGCAGATTTTAGGTAGATCACCAGATCTCAGAGTGCGCTTGAACATTGAGAAGAATTAATGGTATGAAATCTGTACGTAATGTGTTTAGTAATCATAAGAAAGTTCTAATCACTTTGTTCCATTAAAAAAATGTACAAATGAAGTATTGACAATTTAGTAGGACTGAAAGTAAGACATTTGTCCCACTCAACTTTTAACGCGCAACATATCTTAGCAAAATCCATATCTGAAAACTGACTACCAATATAATAGGCACAAAACTGGAGAGTTGTAAAAAAAGTTTCTCTTGAACAAATTTTTCTCAATCGAAATGTAATTTGTTTGTTGTTAGGATCCTCTTTTTCAAGAGCAATAATCGTGGAGGGGAAATAATTTCATCCGAGTAGAGAGTAAAGTGGCTTTATTCAAATCAAAAGGAACTGTCTTCATTATGACATGGTCCCTGTTTTGCATGTAAGTACCCATAAGTGTCTCCAAGGCTCAAATCAGTCAAGTCACAATAGAGTTCGATCCTTTTGATTTAGATACTTCCATATGTGAAAAGAAGATACCTAAATACCATTAAAGCGATGATGAAACTGCAATTCTCTGAGAATTGCATACCTTGGTTTGTAGCCTTGCAGACTTCCTATCATAATTTGTTTTCTACATGGAAAACTACTGAACTTGGTTTTTTGAAAACTTTGGTGAGTTTTCTTCTCTTTGTAAAGGATATTCGGAGGAAAATGCAAGCTAGGATGTTAGTTCCATCTCCTTTTAAAGAATTAAAATGGAGTCGAGATTTTGAAACATCGCAACCGAGGTATGCATTTTTGCAGTTTCACTGTCAAAATAAATTTGGAAGTCAGTGAACCAAAGTATATTGTTAACATGTGTTTTTTCCCTCAGAATGCACTCAAAATGGAATTTTTTACCCTGTTTTTAATACTTGACATTTTTCTTTTTACTGTCTTTTTCAGAACTTATTCAGTTTCAACACCATTACAAACAATAAATTATCTTGCGGGATAAAAATTATTTGACGAATACTTATGGGGTGAGTTATAAATACTGTAACACCTGAGAATGAAATAGATAAGGATTGGTAACATAAAACGAGGATCTATCCAATTCTTGGAATACATATCCTTGAAAAGAGGACGTATTGTGACAGTTCAAAAAAAGAAACCTCAAGGCTGAGAAAAAGGAGAAAAAATTGCCCTATCAATTAAAGATTGGTTACAAAATAGCAAAAATTACAAAATTGGTGACAAAAGACCTTCAAAAACTTCTTTAAACAGTAGGCTAGATTACTATGAAAGCCTAGAAAAAACGACAACTCCTTATTTTCGTTAGTTGTGCCAATCCTATGAAAATAGAGAGCTTTTAGCATGCTCCGTCTGTATCAAGCATCCTTATTTATAAAATTTCATCAAGTGGATACAAAACACATGCTATAACTTAGTATCTATTGAAATCTCATTTTGGATTTTCCTGATTTTCTGCTTGAGTAAATTGACTCTCATTTGATTTTACATGCCAACATATCAATGAATTGAATCAAACGTTCAACTTTTAAATATGCTAAACAGTATGTAGTTGAAAAATGCTTAACGTACGAATAATTTCCTGAACTATGACTGACTTCCCTAATACTTTCTTGATGACATCAAATTTTCTCGGTTACCTTGTGTAATCTGATGACTTGTATTTGCTTAATTACAATTTTATCAATACCCTTGGGTAAGGGATCAGTTTCTTATGACAACAATGAACTTAGTGTTTCGCAGTATAGCTAAGCAAATTCTATCGGGTAACCAATTGGACTGCATTATGCAATTAGAACTTACAATGTCTGGCTCATCCCTTAAACACTAATGTGTTTAGGGGAATTAATTGTACATACGTTGTTTCTAAACTGAGCCAAATACTTTGGTTCCTGATTGCAAAATTTAGTCCAATTGGCTTCTTTATTGTCTTCAAAATTTAGCTCACAGGGTCTAGATAGATCACCTGATTTTGGAGTGCACTTGAAAATTATACAAAATTTTAGCCATACATTAAAAGAACAGGCACAAATCGAAAAATACCGGATACAAAATGACAATCTGACAAAAATCTCGTCCAAAAATTTTATCACATTTTGACAAAAAACATTACAATAATCCTAGGGTTAAAATGTTAACACTCATTAATATGGCAACAAATTCCTATTCTAAAAATAACTTCTACACTGAGAAAAATAAAATAAGCTCATCTAATGGAGAGGTGTATAACTTTATGCTCTGTTGAAATTTGCGGGTGAGCATGAAAGCCAACGTTTAGAATCCTGGATTCAAGGGTACTTTTTGCAATGATAGAATGAAAAGACACATATATTCATATTGTTTTTTCTAATATTCACTTGCGTCATGAGCGTGACATTTGTCCAACTGCGCAATAACAAAGAACAAAAAATACTTTTAACCCCCGATGGAATAAGGTGTAACTGTTAATTTTCACTTAATGACTTAAAAAATATTGAGGACTCTGACTTTGATATACACTTAACCTAGTTTCAGTCACAGTTTGTAATTCCCTCTTGTCTCATGGTATACATTTAACAAAACAAAACAAAGAAAAGATTGTATTTGTTAATAATTTTGATTTGTGCAAGAAATACTTATTAAAAGAACAACATATTGGCATTATCAAGATTAAAGTCCCTGCAAATTAAAATATCTGCTTCACCATAGAGTTTGTTAACATACTTGCTTATTAAAAAAGAATTTTTCACTTTTAAAACTTTTATGAAGTATACTATAACGAAACTATCTTTAAAAATGGATGATTTTGTAATACATTAAATTTCATATAGAGTAAAATTTTAACTTAGTGGTAAGTAAAAGACCTAAGTATCTCCATGAATATTGCAAAAAACACGAAAAAAAGCCAAAAAAGAAACTCCTTGACATGAAATTGAACAGAGACAAAAATACCCACGTTTTCTTACACAGAAACAGTGCATAGAAGGAAAGAGGATGTTTGTCAAAGATTAGCGGATCAAATTAGGGCTTTCTCAGCAAAAAACAATACACGAGTTTAAATAAACACTCACCACCAGCAAAAATTTCATTTCAGAATTGTTAAATTTTCAGGGCGTCGCACTTTCAGTATAAATCATTTACTTTACTTTAGAACACACAGCAAAGCCTAGTTGTTAACAAAAAAAATCCACAATGACTACTTAAGTCAACAACTCTAATATTTAACCTCCATAATTGGACTGCATTCAGCAGAGAGAAACCAAGCCACATGAGCTGTCGCATAAATTAACGGAGCTATATAATTTTTTACAAGAGAATGTTTGTGCAGATAGTTTTAAAAATTTTAAAACAATTTGCCTCGTATTACATGAAAAATTCACTGAAATTTGCAAAAAAATAAATTCGCACAACCGTTTTAAAAAATGACCAAGAACCAACCGTGTGAAAAATTAAATTTTAAATTTGACAATAGCTGATGTGGCTTGGTTCCTTTTTGCTTAGCGCTGTCCAATTAAGAGATATTTAACAAACCATGTTAAATTAAAATTACAAACAGGAAGTTGGAGTCTGTTTCCTTAAGCGGCTAGTAAGGTTACATCATTAAGAGTGTGAATAATAAAGGTAGTGTTAATGGGAAATTTTAAACAAAAATTATGGTTTTTGCAGCCTCAAGAGTAAATAACCAAGCACTTTCTGAAGAACGAACAAACACTTTTCACAACCTAATTTGTAACCGCTGTGTCATGTTTCCAAGATGTACAGTTTTCTCTGTGTATCATGAGATCGAGTTGGCAATTTTCAGTTCACTTTGAAGATAGATTGTGATTTCTTTCATAAATAGGATGTTTTTCCAAACAATCTATTTACTGTCAAATGCTCTGTCGTTTCTCAAAACAGCAAGAATTTACTGCTGACAAATAGTGAAGAAAAAATTGTAGCATCTTCGAAAAAAATCGAGCACTTGGAAAAAAAATGAACAAATCAAACACCTTTGGAGGCTGCTCAAACCATGAATCATTAGTGTTAGTTGATTTCTTGAATGAGAGACAACTTAGCTTATGTTTCAACTTTTTGACTTGTTCAGTTAGAAATTAATACACGAGAAACAACCGGGAAGAGAAATTAGAAATTCGTAGAAGTTAATAGCTGAGGTCAAGAACAGGTATTTATTTTCTGAATGAGGTAACTGACTAATTGCTTTTAACGAGATATACACTTACTGTTCATAAAAATGAAAAGAAGTTGATTGGGGCAAAAAGTTAAAAAAATTGAAAGATTTTGAAGAGAGCCCTGAATCAGATACTTTTCAAAATAGTGATCATAGATCTGTTGAGTCGCAAAACTTACAATGGCTCAAGTATCACAAAATGACTAGTAATAACTATGATTATTGAGCTTTCACGCAACTGCCAGAGCAAGTTACAGGTCTCTCTCCAAGCAGAGGGTATGAATAGCTAATTTCTAAAAATATCACGTTTAGTCCACATTCAATACTTTGATTGAGCCCATGGCAAGTTTCTTACAAATTCTACGTCTGAGCTAGTTCAACATTAGATATTTGCCAATGTTCGGACTGGATTTCTTTTGATAACACGAGTAATTATGTCAGAATTCACACTTTCTTGATAGAACAATCAAAAGTATTTTTTTTTCATAATCAGCAAAAGAAAAAACAAAAAAATGGAACAAGTTTCACCTTCAGAAAACAACGGTTGTAGGATAAAGTTTTGGAGGCTATTGTGAAAAAAAAAAAATAAAAATAACTGAAAACTTTTTCAAACAAAATGTGCTGAGTATTCATGAGGCATGACGCCTCGACGAGGGTAAAAGACGTGATTCACCGAATAATTCAACAAATTTGTGATGTGCGACGTGTAAATGTCAGCGAATCTGAAGAGTCTCCGCGAAAAGTAAGTTGGATTGTGGTGCGTTCGGAAAACACTGCCAAACTGCTTGTTGAAGACCGTTTTTGCTTTGTCCCTGAAACGAGATGAAAATGCATTTGAAGGCAAGCAGAGACATATTATCACCTTCCGGCAAAAGTATCAAAAATGGCGGCGGAAAGTTTTAAACGTCGCATGGCGCTTGTGATACTTTGGCCAGGAGGTAACGAAAAGACAACCAGAAAAGTCAATAAACATTATACATAGGATAATGAACATTGACCACAAAAATTCAAAAATTGTTAGAGCTGAGCAGTACAAAAACTAACTACAGCAAAATCTCATAACTACATTCTTTTAACTGCATACATTAAACCGTCTTAACTGTAGTTTCATTCAAAAGTTTTTAACATTCCTTGACCCAAAATGATTATAAATCACTATTTGAAATATTGGTGCCAATGACTCAATTTACTGATTTTTGGCCCTAAGGCTCCATTCCTTATGGATAATCACATATTGATAGTAAAACTACAGAAACAAGTATCTGGGTTTGCAACGTTGCAGACTTCCTATCATATTTTATTTTTTAAATAGAAAAATACTCAATGTTATTTATTGAAAACTTTTCTGATTTTTCCTCTCTAAATGTGAAGGACAATGAAAGAAACTTCAAAGCAATAACATTACTTTGATCTCTTTGGATAAAACATGGGAGCAGAGATTTTGAAACACTGCAAACCAGATACGCGTTCCTGCAGTTTTGCTGTTGATAGGTTCACAAGATATTACACACACACAAAAAAAAAAATTGTAACACGGTGCTCTGCAGGTTAATGGTTTTTAGTAAGTAAAGGAAATCAATATGAGCTAATGTTCAATTAAAATTTTGTCGGACGATCAAAAAACGTCTTTGCAAGTATACAAAACGGAGCAAATTTTGGTGAAAAGGACCTACCTCAATTCATCTCGTTCAATGCACCAACTCTCCAAAATCTGAAAAGCATCAGGGCTTGTGCTTCCTTGGTGCTCCTCAATCAAAGCTGTTAACATTTGTAACCAGTTTATATTCTTCTTGAACTCATCTGAATTAAGAGTCTCGATCTCATGCTGAAACAAACCCAAATTTCCACAGAATTACAAATACTCCATCGTAAAATTATTCACAGCATCAGTCGGGATTGTACAGACAGGGAAACAACGACAAGCATGTCGATTCTTAATTTACCCCCAAACAGGGTGGCCAATTTAAAATTGGAATTACCTGAGTTGTTCGAATCATTTCTGCTTATTTTGAAAAAAAAAAAAAAAAAAAATTCCGACTCCTAGGGTGTGGGATGATCAATTTGTCACCTCCCAAGAGAGGAAGCATACTTTTGTCTGCACTGTTTTGGTATGTCTACAAACACTTTATTTTTTCACAGGAAAAGCATCGTACAAATAAGTCTGAAAATTTCACGATCTTTTTTCACAAAAGAAAAGATAAATACTACGAAATTCAGGAAAATTCATGTAATAGTTCTTCTATAAAAAAATTAGATAAAAGTTAGAAATAAGTACGGAGACAGCACTGAATATAACAGAAAGGCGCCAAGTTGCGTCAAGTTTGAACCGAAAAAAGAGATTCAAAGTTTTTCTTCTCCATAAGACTATGTTCAGGACAAAATTTTCACACTATTAAGAACACTATTTTTGCTCCAAAGTTTTCTTTCTTGGCTTTGAATTTTTGACAAAAGAAAATACAATTAATGGAATTCAACACTATTCCCGACTCACTTTTTTTCAAAATGAAATTGATGCTTTTCTGTTAAACTCGAATTCATTTTATAGCATCCCAAAGGGTAAGTAAGAAGTCACTCAGTTAATTTTTTCTGCATAAAGGAGGAAAAATTGAATATTAAACCACCAGTTTTGACATTTTGGTCAAAATAATTATTTTGAAGTTAGAGACTTCGAACCGTCACAACTCGAGGTTTGGTTTGATATGTTTGCGATGTTTTTGTGACAAAGAACGTGTAAAATATTCCTCTCAGCGGCTATGCTAATATCTCGATATTGAGTTTTTCAATGCACAGGTCATTTTTCCTCTGAACATTCACTAATCTTCCAAGACTTCCTTCTCTGAGTTCAGAAAGAAGGTTCGGTTTACTTACCGTCAGTTCACTAATGATAGCTCCTGTGCACCAACCATGTTCCAGCGTCACATCAGCTAAATCACTGTAAGGATGATCTCCAAAGTACAAAACTTCACTCCCTCGCCATCCAGTAAAATCGAGTAGCTGATGAACAGTCCCCTGCACAAAAATGTATCACATATATCACACAACTGATGATGTGCGCATTTTAAAAGAGGCTCTTGGTGAATGAAAAGGTTACATAACATATCTGTGATTTCAAAATGGAGTGAAGTTTAAAAAGTCAAAAAAGATAAGGGTCTTCCGTGTGGAGAGAGATTCCTTGTTAGATATCTTTCCAGGAGAAAATGATAAATAAAATCTGTGAAAAATCATACATTATGCATTCTATCAACTTTAAAGGTCAAATCAAAGAGTACTGAAAGCAAAGTGATTATTTTATTTTAATATTCATGCCTCCAGCTTCAATTTGATATGACAACTTAGCAGTTTTTATTTTTCAAATTGTTGCCACAATTATAAATAATTATTTTTTGGCCCCAATATTTTTGAAAAACACGATTTGCTTACCTCATAGTAGATGACACCTTTTTCTAGATGATTTATGCGGTCCCACAGATTTGTATCACGTTCCTTATCATAGATACGCATCGGTCTTGACTCATCTGTGAAAAATCGTGGTTTCCTTGCCTGTACTATGATGACATCAAAAAAGCTCTCCCAGTCTTTACCAACCATCAAAGACATACCTTTATCTCTGAAAGTGCAAACATGAAACAAAATGAGCGGAAAAAATTTTGTATGTGTGGTAGCTGTGTTTTTTGTGTAGGACTAAAACACTAACAGTCTGCGAGTAAAAGAAAAATAAATACATATCTTCCAGTGGTTATTTTATTGCAATTAGTCCTCCGGGTCAACAGATTTATGTACCTACAAGCAGCAAATTCAGCAAAAAACAGTGTGTGGGTTTTGAACCAGGAGAAAAATAAGAGGAACCAGTACGAATGCCTGATTTGCCATTTCAAAAATTTAAAAAAGCATTGTACCTGTATAGTCCAGTCAATCTGGCCCAAAAAAGGGGTCTACTTTGCGAAAATCTGAGGAGAAAAAAGTAAGACGGATTCCTATGTAATTTGGGTCGCTGAATCCGAATCTGATGTTTGCCAACAAAAATTTTGACCGGAAATGGCCGCCATCTTGAAAAAATGGCGGAAAATCACGTTTTTTCCCCAAAATCCCCCAAAATCTCACTTATTTTGGGGTTTTCGACAA